CCACCTTAAATTCAATTGTCACAATTTAGGTACTAGTTGCCTTCACTATCCCAAGGAACTGATAACTTATGTACATGCCAGAGCAGAGGTACAGCCCGAATGACCGTAGAACAATCACAACAAAAGTTACCTGCATTGTCTGGGAATTGGACCTGTGTTGCCCATTTCATAGTCCAATGCTCCATGTACTGAGTTGACCGGACAGCTAGTATTATTATTCAATTGTGTTAAAATAGCAAATTTATGTAAGAATACTATCATTGGTAAATTGTCAACCTGTGCATTAAAATCAACCAAACAGATTCTTATTGGTTATAATAAGTCCCGAAAAGTTTCCTGCTCTTATATTTGAGACACATTTTCCACAATATCCTCAACAAGAAAAAGTGACCAACCTCATAGAGTGTGGGCTTACTTAAATTTTATGGAGAAATCTTTCATCATCACATGTATATCTCAAATTTAACTAAATTATTTTTAAATATTATATTATATGATGGTATTGCATTTAACATGCATTGTTTCACTAAACATTTGTATACATCTGTCAATCATAATACTAAAATGATCTAGTTCATTCATAATTACATATATATCACCTTCCTGTAGTAGTAATATATGCACATTCATTAATTGATTTAAATAAAGCCTGATGTTACCTATATATAGATGATTTATTATCATATTTATTGCCATTTCTACATGCCTTATATGTTGATGACATTGTCCATGCCATATGTGCTATGTATGAAATGTTTCTTTAATAATCAAAACGTGTCTTCCATATAAATGTTCATGTTTACAGAATGACAATAAATTTCATTATTTTAATTTAAATGTGAAATATTATAGATAGTTTCATATAACATATACTAGACATTATGTTGGTTGAATTTCTAAAGAAATCTTAGTATGAAATGTTAAAACTTTATTCTCATTGTTTCTGTAATAGTTTGATCAGTTTTACACTAAGATCATTTATACATTTGAATCATTTATTCTTTGGATCATTTATACATTTGGACCATATGAAAACTTTAATCATTTAATATATACTTTGATCATTTATATATTTTGATCATTTATACATTTTAATCATTCTTACACATTTATATACTTTGATAGTTTACACACTTTGATCATTTGTACATTATGATCATTTAAATACACTTTGATCATTTACACACTTTGACCATATAAATCTTTCATGCATTTGATATACACTTTGATCAAGTATACACTTTGACCATATAATTTATAAAAACTTCAATAATTAAATATATACTTTGATCATTTATACATTGATCAATTATCTACTTTAAAAATTTATATAATTTGATAATTCATTAACATTAATTCATTAACATTTATACACATTAATCATTTATACACATTGACCTTTATACACTTTGATCATTAATACACATTGATCATTTATACACATTGATCATTTATACACATTGACCTTTATACACTTTGATCATTAATACACATTGATCATTTATACACATTGCTCATTTATACACACTGATCATTTATACACATTGCTCATTTATACACATTAATCATTTATACACATTGATAATTTATACACATTGCTCATTTATACACATTGCTCATTTATACACATTAATCATTTATACACATTGCTTGTTCATTTATACAAATTGATCAATTATACACATTGATCATTAAATAAACACTTAAATCATTTACATACTCAGATTATTATGCACTTTGCTCATTTATACATATTAAACATTTATACACTAGATCAATAAAAACTTTGCTCAAGTATACACTTTCATGAACTTTTGAAGTGTCGAAATAAAAAAATAATATGTAAGTATTTAAGAAATAACAAGAAGAAACTCCATAATTTCTATAATTTCTGCAGCACTTTCAATCTCAGTGCATATGACTGGAGTTTTGAACCAAAGTAAACTTATATGAACAACATGTTAACCAGAATCATATATATTATTCTTTCATAACTCCACAATATTGAAAAAGCAAAATGATATAATCCCAATTTTTGCTTCAAAAAAAAGGGGGAGGGGATCTGAAGAAAAAAAATTGAGCATTTGCATAAAAATGGCAATATCTCTCGTGAGTGATCCAGAAGAACTTGAATGACAAAAAGTTTTTCAGTTAAAGTTTGTTTTAAACAAAGGCATTAATATTTATTTATGATCTTTTTTTGTAGCTATTGTATGATGTTTGTGAAATATTCAATTTTGATCTTTATGCTGTTTTCTATTTTGTCTGTAACCGTTATTAAATAACGACATTTTCAAGAAAACATGAGCAAGCAGTATGACATTTATACTGTTTGACATTTTGGACAGAAAGCTGAAATATCCAGTTACTTTCAGATCATATCTAATGAATGTTTAAGCAATAAATAATGCTGTACATCAGGTGTTTCTGATTGATTACACCAAGTGCATGTTTCTCTTCAAGTAACTCAAGAATAATTTTTATATAAAAAGTTTAAAGTCTGATATTCTTAATATATAAATTCTGAACTTACTACTTTTCTCGCTTAAAACTATTTGTTCATCTTTCACTTTTTTACCCATTGTTTTAGTCCCTTTGTTTTAATCCTCACATTAATTCAACAATCTATGAATACATTGAACAGTCAAGTGTATTATCAGTACATTATCAACTTAACTCCATACATCAGCTGTCAAAAATTCTAGTGTGACTAGGTGATAAAGCCCTGTCTGACCCAATAGTGATAAACAATTCAAGGGAGATAAACTGTACTAACTTATTGATAGTTAATAGTAGAATCTGCTATATTGTATTTAAATTAGAATCAAGAGGGGAATTTTTTGTAACTGAAATTATTTCTTACAATCAGGTTAATGACATAACTTGAGGGCGTGTGATGCTTCATTAGCGAATATTATAAAGGAGATACCCTTTACTGGCTTTTTCTTTAGTATAAGGGAGGCAATTCTTGCATTTATTCAATTCCTAAACATGCTCACAACTGCAAGTGCTTTTTTTCTTTTGTTGTACAATTAAATATGTGACTACAACATGCCAAATATGTTTAAGGATGTCAGCTTGTAAGTTCTTACTTTCTTTATACCAAGGCAAGCATTTTCCCTTTCTGCTTTTATTGAATTTATAATGATCGCAAAACTTTGTGAAAATACATCTAAGGAAATATTCTATAGTTATTGAACTTACAACATTATTTTTGATCAAGGTCACTTTGACTAACAAGACCTTGACCTTTAACCTACAGACCTCAAAACCAAAAGGGATTATCTGCCAACACTTGAACCCGGGAATACTGTTTCGCAACTCTCACAACTTAGCTATCTGACTGCTTATACATTCGCTTGCCTAAATAGTGAACATTTCTGAACCATGACATACTCTCTTGCTATAATGAAATTCATCCTCGAGGGTTTACAGAGGAATGTGAATTCCAGTTTTAATATATTATTATAATTATAATATATTCCACTCCAAATGTCACAAGGTGAAAAAAAAATATGCAGCCTAACCGGGCCTTGAACCCGGGACCCTTGGAACACCATTCTGCGGCTCTACCAGCTGAAATATCTGGCTGCTCATAAATTCTCTCCCCTAAATAGTGAACAGTTCCAAACTATGATAAAACAATTGGACAAGAATTGATCTATGGACAAAATGTGCAACATGTGCAAAAAGTAAACCCCTGTGTGCTGTGTGTGTTTTCTGGGTGGGAGGAGGGGGAATCACAAGTTTGAGAGATGAACAATTTTGAAAACTAGAAATGTGTCCATAGGACACGGGTGCCCCCACCACGACACTGTTCTGTCAATCTTTTTACTAAGTCAAGGGAAATAACTCTACAAATACTGGATAAATCCACAAGCCAAACCCCAGGTGCAAATCTAAAATATGCTGAGCAACCTGCCTATAAGGTTTATTGACTATGTCAAATCCTTTTTGAGAAACTTGCGACACAAGTTGAAAATTGCAAAAATTTTCTACGTGAAGGGCAATAACTCTAAAAATACTAAATAAATCCAGACGAAAATACCTGGTGCACAACTGCACATGCTGATCAATATTCCTGTAAAGTTACTTGACTCTATGTCAAATACTTTTTGAGTTCTGTGCGACACATGTTGAAAATTGCAAAATTTTACTAAGTCAAGGGCAATAACTCTGAAAATACTAAAAATATCCAGACGAAAATACCCAGGTGCACAACTACACATGCTGATCAACATTCCTGTAAAGTTTCATGACTCTAGGTCAAATACTTTTTGAGTTATGTGCGACACAAGTTAAAAATTGCAAAATTTTACTAAGTCAAGGGCAATAACTCTAAAAATATGCACACGAAAATACCCAGGTGCACAACTACACATGCTGATCAACATTCCTGTAAAGTTTCATGACTCTAGGTCAAATACTTTTTGAGTTACATGCGACACAAGTTGAAAATTGCCAAATTTTACTAAATCAAGGGCAATAACTCTGAAAATACTAAAAATATCCAGAGGAAAATACCCAGGTGCACAACTACACATGCTGATCAACATTCCTGTAAAGTTTCATGACTCTAGGTCAAATACTTTTGGAGTTACATGCGACACAAGTTGAAAATTGCCAAATTTTACTAAGTCAAGGGCAATAACTCTGAAAATACTAAAAATATCCAGACCAAAATACCCAGGTGCACAACTACACATGCTGATCAACATTCCTGTAAAGTTTCATGACTCTAGGTCAAATACTTTTTGAGTTACGTGCGACACAAAAGTGAACGGACGGACGGAAGGAAGGACGGACGGAAGGACGGACGGACAGACGGACGGACGGAAGGATGGACAGACAAGGGTAAATCTAAATGCCCGCCACTAACGTGGGGGCACAAAAATGAAGCAAAGAAAAGTTCAAAACAAAAATGAACATATACTTGTTGGATTGAAATCAAAACAGAACACTTCATACTTGTTGGATTAAAATTAAAACAGAACACTTCATTTTAAAAACATATTTATTATTTAAGAATTTATAAAAGTTAATAGAATAAAAACAGTGGTATCACATAAGCTTCTTATGCTATGTATAAAGTTTGAATAAGTGTATGTATATTTCTGAAGTACAATGATCTATAAAATCTTTCATATAATGCACACGTCAACAGTAACCTTGGCCCACCAACCAGCCATTCAACAATGGGACTTTGACTCTTGTATGATCAAACCCCCTGTTAAAGGCCCTGCCTTTAGGGGACAACCACACTGTAAAACCCCCGTTTGATTCCCCTACACTGCAACATTGACAAACATGCTAATGGTACTTTATGGCCTACACAAAACTGCATTGACAAGGCAGTGTAGGGACAAACAAAAAGGTAAAAACTTGGCATGTTTTACCTGCTTCCCCCCTTCACTGTTTGGGCCTTGGCTACAACTGACATGAGCACATGAAAGAAAACATTAATTTGTGTATATAAAATCAGTGATTTTTTTAACATTGTGTTTAAAAAAATATTTCTAAAAACAAGAAAAGGTTGTCTTTTCTGGAATGTAATATTATGCATGAGGGTTTTTTCTGATATGTATATATACATGGAACAATTTTTTTTCTCTATAATTTTTTTTCCCACAATTTTAGCAACACACACACATGGATCTGTACATTTTTTATGTATATTTCTATATCTTACAAGGTGAAAAGTTTGGAAACAGTAGAAATTTTATGAATAATGTATATAGAAAAATATGATATTCCAAAATAAAATATATCACAAGAAAATAATATTACAAGTATCATGGTTGTTTTGATGGGGTTTTTTAGTATAACAAATAGGTAAAGGGGAATCACTGACCTTGACCTGAACAACTTCATAAGGGTAATTTCATACCAAATGTATAAGATATGTCAAATAATTTCATGCCACATATATAAGATAAAAGTCAGTAAAAGAAGGCTTCATTAGGAACACTAGAAAATATCCTGACTACATCAACCTCAAAACTGACATATTGGTAAAGGTTTAAATAAGGTAGTTGTATACCAAATATTTAATATATAACAGTCTTGAAAATGAAGGGACAATTAAAAATGGTAAATAAGAATGACTGACGGATAAACTGGACACAATATGCTTGTCCAAAAAAAAATTTTGAACTGCATAAAAATGAAAAAAAAGGAATGATTTTCAAAACCATCAAAATAGCAATTGATACACAACAACAGTTTTACAAAACAAACATGGTAATAATGAATGTATAACAAAACTGGTATAGAAAAAAGTCACTAATTAACAGTCACCTAACACCATAAATGCAGGGCTCTGTTGGTAGTAATAGACCAGGCCAGCCTACAAGTCAATATATGTACAGCCATGTGACCGGCTTAACGGTGCTAATTTTGATTTGTTGAAAAAACAAATTTAGTGCTGCCATCCCTGTGAAAAGTTATGAAACTGGTAGTTACAATAACTGTAATTTCCCAAATTGATATATAAGTGAATATTTTCATAGATTTTGAAAGATATATAAGTGAATATTTTCATAGATTTTGAACATATTTAAAGCCAGGAATTATCAAATACATTGAAATAATTTTAAATCGTTAAGACAGTAATATAAATGATAGAACATTTCTCCTGATTGACATCATTAAATTTTGCCAATTAATCTAACTGAAAAAACATCATATTTATGTTGTCAATGATTTTTTTTGGTCTTAAAGTATTGCGGGTAAAATTACTACAAATTTAAAGCTCTACATGTATAATGGTCATAATTATAACATTTTGCAAACTTGGACCAGCCAAATTTTAAGCATTTTTTTATTTCTACATAACATAAAACGTACAATGAAGTACCTGTATGACACTTCAGAAGCACACTACTTAAAATAAACTTTCACAATCAAATAATTAGTTCAATTGTCAAAAGAATTTTCTTGTTCAGCGGTGACATAATTATATATGAGCCGCGTCACGACAAAAAAAACATAATGGGTATGCGACCAGCATGGATCCAGACCAGCCTGCGCATCCGCGCTGTCTGATCAGGATCCATGCTGTTCCCTATCAGTTTCTCTACTTGTTATAGAGTTGGCAAGCGAACAGCATGGATCCTGATCAGACTGCGCAGATGCGCAGGCTGGTCTGGATCCATGCTGGTCGCAAACCCAATTATGTTGGCTTTGTCGTGACACGGCTCATATATATTTCTACAGTGAATAATGAAACAATTCTATATTATAATTGCACAAAAAAATAAGGAAAAAAGCTGTAAATAAAAAACAACAATAGTAATGTACATTATACATCTACATAATACAAAATGGATTTCCTGTTCTGTACTTTATATATCTATCTATATATTTATATATACCTGAATAAGTGTGAAATAAAATGGTATCAAAATTATATAAATATTTTCATAAATGCATAGATTCTGTATATAGTACTGTATGTACTTATCTGCAAGACAGACTGCTTATAAGTCAGGGTCTAAATATTTTACACTAAAATCTGCAGTGTATTGGTTTGTCCCTCAAACCTCTTCTATGAACAGAACTCCAAGCACTGTGTGCTTAGGTAGGCTAAATTATTTGAGTTTCCCTTAGAAAAAAAAGAAGAAAAAAAAACAACACAAAATAAAATCTCAGTTGCCTTATTTTTTTAGGTGATGAATATTGTTTAATGTGAATGAAACAGGAATGTAGTAAGTTTATATCTAATATAAATAATATCTATAAAAATCAATGAAGCCATAAAATATCTCTATGTCCAAAGGAAAATAAAAAACAAGAGAAGTTAACCTTTGCACTCTGACAAGTTTCTAAATAGAAACTCTTATGAATAAAATGTTTATGCCTCGACAGAAAATGACCTAATGATTAAAATTCCTTTTCATTTCTCTTGTAATAAATACGGTAGAATATCCAAATACATGTTCAACTAAAAAAGTTTGTTTTTTTCTTACAGAGTTGTAAAAAAGATGATTTTTTTTATCCCAGTTAAAATCAACAATATATCGGTATAAATCTATAAAAAGCAATTTAACGACTTTCATTGGTCAATTAAAAAGTTCAACACAGCATTATAGCCAATCAGTTATTAGATATTTTTGACTGGTCTTCCTAATTAAGATTTAACCGTTATGAAATATTCGATAAAATCCAATTCCTGAAAATAAGTAGTATAATACTAGTGAAAAATCAGCTGTTTTCTCATTTATTTCACATCCCCAGGTGTCATTTCCATAGCGATTTGTTGCTCCTCTATGCTAGGTCCTATATAAATAAAAAACATAAAAGTAATGTGTGATAAATGCATAATGACAATAGTTTCTTTAGCTTTGATATCCGATACAATATTATAATACATTGCACATTTAGTTCTCAATTATCTAAAATAATAAATGCTTAACAATACACTACAAGAATAACTTAAAGCTATTACCTAAAATAGTAATTAAGTAAATAAAATTGAAACAGATATCAAATACTTAATAAATGCACATATACATTACATTTACATCTTTCATCTTGTAAAAATTATTTTCTATTTAATCACCTAAGTCACTTTAAGTAATGCTGTAAAAATTATAATGATGCTAGGTAGAATGTGTTATAATAGCTAAAATTAATTTAGGTGTTAATAAAGAGAAAGCTAATATAATGATAGGCTTTGTGCAAGTGTTTGTTGTTTTATTTTTAAAAACAATAAGCTAAAATCACCATGGAAAATGGTAGGACTCTTTAAGAATGAAAAAACTGTTTCTTGACACTTGAAAAACTGCTTTTTTATCTAGAATAAAAACTTTCATGATGTTCAAAACAAATCTTTTTATCTTAATGTTAAAAAAGCTTTTTCTTCAAACTTGAATACAAGGTTTCCCAAGCTGTCTTGAAAAAAATCTAAACTTTCTTTTCTCTTCAAAAATTCTTTCGTCAAACTTAAGTTAATGAAAAAAAAATCTCTATCAAATGAAATATTTCTTTGAAGAAAAACAATCTTTCATTATGTAGACTCTTGAAGAATAAAGTTACATTGTTATTCTGTGACAGAAAGTATTGAACTAAATTCTAAATTTTTACAAAACAGTCCTGATTCTGTAACAAAATCTGAATATATATACAAAAAATTTGACATAAAACTGGAGGGTCAATTATTATTTACATCATGTATTATATATAACATTATCTTCATCACACAAATCACAAAAAACATGCTTTAATTGCACACTACAATATCTAATCAAGCGCAAAACAGTTTTATGTTAAACATAACATGACAATATATCATGAAGAAAAGATAAATTGCAGCAGATTTTTATACACTATAAATTTGTGTCCATATAATTTTGTTATATTGGTGAAACTGTTTTTGAATAATCATAATAATATCATTGGTAGGGCCTTTAACTGAAACATTATATCACTGATACCTCCATACAGTCATATATCTTTATAAAGCTGCTAAATAATAGCCATTTTATAAATATAAGTTCTTTACCATTACTTTCAACAACATTGTAGCTCCTTTTCATCTTGTTAACCTTTCCCCATCCACCCAAAACATCAAACTTATAAGAAGTGCAGTAAGTGTTCTAAACAATATCAATCATTATTTTAGAAGGAAACCATCTTTTCTTCATAATACTTGTACATATGTATGCAACATTATAACTGTTATAATAAGCTAATATATCCCTTATAGTGGGTAAAATGTTAGCAGATCTATTCAAACTTCATTAGCTATAAATACAAACAGGAAAGATTTTACTAACTGATATATATTTCAAATATAATCTTTTCTAACATTATACAGCTACAAAACTACTGAAACTAGAAATGTGTCCATAGGACACTGATGCCCCCACACGCCACTGTTCTGTCAATCTTATGACTCTAGGTCAAATATTTTTTGGACTACATGTGCCACAAGTTGAAAACTAAAAATCAACAAACGGCCATAATTCTGTTAAATTTGGTCGCAGCAAAATATCCTTCCTTTACTACCATCTACACATTAAGGTTGTTAATCCCTGGAAGTTTAAGCAAAATCTGCCATCCGGTTTAAGAGGAGTTGCGTTCACAAAATTTCTACATAGTATATAGTGTAAAAATCAACAAAGGGCCATAATTCTGTAAATTTGGTCGCAGCGAAAATTCCTTCCTTTACTGCCATCTACACATTAAGGTTGTTCATCCCTGTAAGTTTAAGCAAAATCTGCCATCCGGTTTAAGAGGAGTTGCGATCACAAAATTTCTACATAGTATCTAGTGAAAAAATCAACAAAGGGCCATAATTCTGTAAAATTTGGTCGCAGCGAAAATTCCTTCCTTTACTACCATCTACACATTAAAGTTTGTTCATCCCTGTAAGTTTAAGCAAAATCTGCCATCCGGTTTAAGAGGAGTTGCGTTCACAAAATTTCTACATAGTTATCTAGTGAAAAAATCAACAAAGGGCCATAATTCTGTTAAATTTGGTCGCAGCAAAAATTCCTTCCTTAACTACCATCTACACATTAAGGTTGTTCATCCCTGTAAGTTTAAGCAAAATCTGCCATCCGGTTTAAGAGGAGTTGCGTTCACAAGATTTCGGGACGTACGGACGGACTGACTGACGGACTGACTGACGGACGGACTGACGGACGGACTGACGGACGGACGGACGGACAAGTGCAACGCTATATGCTCCCACATTGTGGGGGCATAAAAATCAAAGAGATAAGAAACATTTTATTCTTCGGTTTATGACTTTTTGATCTAGAGTACATGATTATTCTTGGTGTGATTTATACATGAAATTATATATTCATTGTGATAGCAAATGGACATTTTTTCATAATGCTTATAGTCATATAACAACTGATCAATAAAATACAAAGCTCGTTAACATACAGTGAACTGTTCAGATTAAAGCTTTGTATACTTAACACTTTGAAACATCTAAACCATTTCAAATGCTACATGAAAATATGCTGGCAAATCCTATGTACTAAGCACAATAAAATTTTAAGCAAAACAATGGAGTCACTAAAAGCCAGACAATGGCTGATCACTATGTAGTTAATTTTAACCTGATAAGCCCATCTTGCTTTCTAAAGATGATTATATACCTTAAATTTACTCTCAGCTAATAACACAGCCAAGACAAGGCTCCCTAGTTTCTTTTTCTGTTTGATATTGCTTGTTTTTCCCTGTTTTAATAAAAATACACCAGAAAATTATCACAGCATAACAATATGTACCAATTTCCCAAACAAATACACACAATGTCATTCAGGACACAAGTACCAAAGCCAATGATAGAAGATCATTCAACACACAATCAGAAATGCAAAAAGAAAGGCTGAGGGCATACAAAAAAGTTGAACAAGAGAATATATCCAGAAGTCAAGATGCAAGTATTACAGTCTCTGAAATAGGCTGACTGTAGGCAAGGATTTTTTTTGTAAAATTAGAAAGTTAAAAACAGAGAATTTTACCCAGACTGATTAGAATAAGCTAGATTTGTCAGTGAAATCATTTTGTTTTGGGTAGACAATCTAATTTATGCACTCCTTTCTATAGATCTAGAAGAAGAAAAAATCGAACAAAAAAATAAAAACATAAGCAACCTCTTAAAATTAAATCATAAATTCATAAGAAATAATCATAGAAATCAAAGAAAAATTATTTAATCAATAAATTTTAGGTTGCCCACCACAAAATTAAATGATTTCACAGTGTTAAGACCCATTCCGATTATTATATGACAATGCCTCTCACATTTTACAAGTTTACCAATCATCAAGAGACATTTCTTCTGCATTTTTCTTTCCCCCTGATTTTTTCTTTCCCCCAGCTTTTTTCTTTTCCGCTGAACTGAAATTACCCGCTGAAAGAGTGACAGGCAAACGATGACAGAAAATGTACAAAAAGAAAAATTTACCTTTTACCGCCACATTACAAGGGTATAAAGCTGTAGCTTATGAAATAATTTTTTTAAAATAACTAACAATAAAATTATATTATTTCCATAATCTTACGGTCTATTCTCAAAAAGAATTGTAACATAGAATGTCTCTGTTATTTAACATTCATGAACATTGTACGTAAACATAATAAATTGGTTTCGGAACAAATATTATTTAACTATAACCCATTAAGCATGCGCCTTTTGCTTTTAAGGCAATTAACCAGCTATAATTCTATAACAGATCTGTCTAACTTTAAATTCAAAGTTCATCAAAATACAAAAATTGAGAAGTCTACTATCCGTATCCTGTTTTGATTAAAAGTGCTCTTTTGTTTTTAAATTTGTATATACAAAAGCCATGTAATTGCCCAGAGCTTATTAATTGCATGCAGTAATAGGAATTAGATTTCAATTTAAACACAAAAAAACAACAAAAAACAAAAAAAAACCAAAAAAGTGTATAGCGACATTTACAAATATTGCCTTTAATTAAATAGATTTATCTTACACCTTTTTCCGAATTAAGAACCTAACTCGGTTCTTAAGTAAAATCCCACCCCTTATAAATATAACAAGTAAATAAATGCTGTTTCAACAAATCATGGCAGATGGGAAATAATAATTATCATAATGAAATTTTTAATATTAAATCACATGCAAAATGCTTTTGAAGGATCAGATTATGCTTTCTATTATATAAAACACATACCATAGTAGCAAGATTCAAAATTGAATTTTACAGACACACAATTACATCGTGTATGTTAATAACAGAGTCTATATCCATCATGCATTCATCAGTAACATATATGAGGAGGAGAGAAAACTGATTCATGCAAGAACATATTCAACAGTTTTTTAACAATCAATCACTTAGCTCACTTGCATTTAACTACATGTATCAAGCACAGCTTTAACATGCAATTTCAAACTTTTATCAACAATACAAGGGTATCACAGCTTTTTGTACAAAACTAATACAAGGACAAGGTCTCTCAAAGGTCAAATAAGGCCAAGATTACACAAGCTATCAAGAAAACTATTGCTTTCCTGGTTCTTTCAGCTGTTTGTTTTTCTTGCCAATGATTTTCATCAGACCTTTACTCATAAAGTAGGGTTTCTCTGGTGTTCCATCGTTCATTTCTAGGTCCTCCACTGCAAACAGAAAATATAAATACTAAATTATGCTCATAAAGTAGGGTTTCTCTGGTGTTCCATCATTCATTTCTAGGTCCTCCACTGCAAACAAAAAATAAATACTAAATTATCAGTCTGTTACAAGAGATTATTGTACTGTTACAATTGAAAGCCTAAGAAAACTAATACAATGTGAAAGCTTCTCTTTGGCCACCTAATACTGCCCAATCCTCTAATACTCCTTAGTGATCTACTGCAATCCTGGCTAGGACTCTCGCAATCTTACAACAAAGATCATTTCTCTGCTCCTTCATATTCATATATAACATACTCTTTTAATAAATGATAACCTTATTTTATATCCTAAATTAATTTATTACCTTTACCCTCCCCAAAATTATTTTCCCATCCCCTTCATCCCATGTACCTTGCCCCCACAATCACCCCTTCTCTTTTATCCCATATACGTACTTCCCACTAATACCCCTACTTTACCCAATATACATTTACCCCATTTTTGCCCCTCTTCCATCCTCTCATTCCTCCCCAATCTTTATCCCACATACCTTTTCCCACCACCAATACCACCAGCAATTAGTCTTTTATTAATAATCATGGTCACTTTTGATCAACTGCTTAATTAATATTTCCATCATTACCACAAATCAATATAAACCTGTACTGCATGCAATTCTTATAATAAAATGTAATAAAATATTGACAGCTCTTCATTAAATACACATTATATGTGGCCAATATCACACGTAAAAAGGTAAAATGACATGCAAAAGAAGTCCTATTGCATGTTTTTGTTTATAGTTTATGATAATATATTATATGTTTACCTATATAAATACCCCATAGGCTATAGGTGATAAAACTGAGAAACGAAAGTCAATGAAAACTATAGATCAGTTAACTGAAAAGGTGACATTGTGCTTTACCTGTAACCTGTTGAATATGTGCTACATAATGAATTTGCCATTCTTTGAATCTGAAATACCGTCCATTTTTATCTTTCTCTAAAGATATCTTTTTTTGAACTGGTGGGGCGTTTGTTGCACCAACATGATATAGATCATATGGCAATTTTCTAGCTTTACAGTTTGAGGAAAAGCCTTAGGTGCCTTTCTGTGCATTATTTCAGGCACAAACAGGCACCCGAGTAGAATCATTGACATTCTGGTGAGGGGCAAGTGCTTTGAAGACAACAACCTTAACCACTTGGCCATGGATGCTCCTCCAAATGGAATAAAGAAACCCGCAGAAATCAAGAATTGAATTACCAACAGTACAGGGCTTGGTCAGACTGCATGGAAATCTCTCTAATTAAGGACCCTTATCCTACAGAAAGAGGAGTCAAAGCTTTAACCCAATTTGTTTAATCTAGATTTTATCTAGGGTTTTAAATTTGGAAAATTATTTCAAAGAGGAGCAGGCACCTAGACAGAACCACTGGCTTCTTTAAGCCAGCTTGATATTAAAATATTATACTTACGGAAGCATAAAAACAATGTGTCCACCGCCATACTGTAAACACTGAAGAAACACGATGCTATCAAATATGTTCCCAAGATGACCAGCTGCAAAATAAATATTACAGTCAGTAATGGACATTGATTTTAACACCATTTAGTTTATACAGAATTTATTTTAGTTTGATTTTGTAGGGAGCTAAAAGCTTATAGACACACTCTTGAATCCTCCCTTAAACCAACCAATACTCGGCAATGAGTATTAAGTTTCTCAAGGAAACAATGACTTGCCCAGAACTGTGGTCCTTGAAGCAAGCATACTCTAAATGTATAAACTGATAAAAACATTATTAGATCAGACCTGGTTTATACAAAAATATTTTTTTAGTTTGTGTAGGAACCTATAAGCTTATAGACACATTATTGAATCCATTCTTGGAACCAACCAGTACTGAACAATGAGTGTAAAGTTTCTTGCTCAAGGAAACAAAGGCTTGCCCATGACGGACGGGGTTTAAACCAATACAATAAATCAAGGAAACATAATTCTGACAATACATTTGTTCCTTATTTCACATCAAAAATGAGAATCTATGAAGTTAACTAATGTCTTAACCACAAAATTTCATATGCATATGAAGTGAACTGACAGGAGGATCTTTTTCATTTATGACAAATTAAAATACAACACAACTTTATGATGTTATGTTAACAAGATGTATTGTTTTCAGAATAGATCTGAGACTGTCCCATTTTATATCTTTAAAAGTTTTTTAGTCTGTAATTCTATACTTACAATAACTGGTGTAAAGAAGTAGTTAAGCTTTGGTACATAGTCACTGAGGTAAGAGATGTCCCCGTTGAAAAAGAAAAATGCAGCCACGCCCACGGCAGATACGCATAACAGCTTACTGATGAACAAGACAAAGTCTGTAACCTTGTCCAAAACTACCACTCTGTAAACAACAAAAACAATACTTTATATCTACTTTACAAATTAAACAGCCACTATGTAAAAAATAATAAAATTATAATATATACTTTGCCACATCTCAGGGAGTAGCTTAGTTGAGTTTCACTATTTGAAATAAGTCCTGGGCAAAATGAAATCCGACAAAACTACAAAATATTATAGTGTTCATAGCAACAGTGTTTCATATAATTATAGCCTGTATCTACAGTTAAGTCACTGACAAAAGGTTTGACAGTAAATAGTTTTAGCCACTGACTCTCTTAAGCAAAAGGGACACAACCAGTTAAACCTGCCAAAGATTTTTATCCATGATTATCTCCCTTCATTTTAAAATGTGCAAATGTTCTATAACTAATAATGCAGAATGAAATCTTACCTGACAACATTTCTCATGATGAGGAAAAATGCATCTTTAGCAGATGCACAGAAATTCTTCCCATATATAGCAATCTGTGAATAAAAATGTTTCAACAAATTATTTCCTTTCACAATTGTTAATTTCAAATTTGCATAATGGAATTCTCTTAAAAATATCTTTTCAGATATAAACATTAGCAATGCTGTTATAGAATTTTTAGTTATGTAGATTGCCAACAGGATTAACAAAAGAATATAACCTGAACTCTATTTATGGTAACCGGAGATGAGACTTTAAAAATTGGAAACTTAATTGACTATCAAAATTTAGAGTGATTAGCAAGCATTTAAACACTTTTAGTTTTTAGATTATTTTGCATATTAAATAAAACAAATTTTCTAGAAAAATCGAGAGTGAATGACTTCAAGTCTTTCACATTAGAGTTTGGTATAAATTAACATCATTGGTCATATGTCATTGGTATAAAAATCTGGAAAAAAATACTTTCAGCCCAGTCATGTTAAAAAACAACAATGGAACCAAATTTCTTAATCAGATGCACTACTAAACCAACTTGTTACAAGCCTCTGCATGGTGTGCATTGCCCAAATGACAGTCAGGAGAAAACTTACCAAAACAGTCAGGAAAAAAAAACTTACCAAAATATATGCATTTTTGTTGAGGAATCTCAGAAACTTTTCTAAACACCACATACAACATTTTAAACATCTGAAATATAGTAAATTGTAAGTATATATTAGTATTAACAAGTAATAACAAGTTCATTATCAAAATAAATGACAAAACAGCAAATGACAAATCATCTTAAACCTTGTGAAATAAAACATAATTTGCATGTTTAGAAAAAAAAAAGAAAAAATACAAAATTGTATGTAAACTGACTTTCAACTCAGAACAATGTGCTGGTTTGAGAGAAAAAATTCACAAAATAAAATGTGGTAATAGAATGACTGCTCTACGCTTCATGATGTACAATATGATTTTATAATCGATAGTTCCTGATTTTCACAATATTTACCTCCCTTTACCTTTCACCTTTATCTTTCCTCTTCATATCAAATAGAGTTAAAATTCTTTAAGCTACAATATAATTGTACAGAGAAGAGGGTACTTACTTAAGTATGAATTTAGCAACAACGTTTCCAGAATCTTTCAGTTTATAATCAATGTACTCAAGGAACACACGGATCATCTGCACTATTGCAATCAACAATGAGCCAAATGCTAGAGATCCCAAATGAAATCTGAAAAAAACAATAAATATTTCAATTCAATTCAATATTTTATTGAGCATATAAACATATTTACAATGTTTTTTACCCACATTTATGACATGTAAGGCAGTGACATTTATTACAATAAGACCAGCATGCTTACATGTATGTTATTAAAATGATTGATATTACAAGTATTTGAGATAAAAGTACAAATACAATGTACTCTCTTATTTCTATTTATATCATTTACTTTCTTTCTTTTTTTACTATTATTAATCCAACAATTATAAATTTAATCTTCCATATTAAATTGATGCTTATAATAATAATAATAATAATACTAATAAAGTCTTTATTTAAAGAGGCTACACAGTTGCAACAAAGGCAATCTACCCTGTGGGCCTTTTTGCAATACAAAAGCTTGAGGCTTTTCAGGCAGAAAATCAATCAATTTTGCACTAACATACATGTACTTATATTAACAATAGGAAAATCGTCAAGCGGTATTACATATGATGCAAAATTATTGACTTCTCCCCTTTGATTATGAAGATTACAATGTATCTTGAATTTATCAAAGCCTTTTTTTCTCAGCAATTTATTTTAATTATTTTCTGATCCTCTATATACTACAAGGAAAATCAAAGTTAGCCATTTATTGATTATCTTTTCAAATATAATTATGACTAATTGAAGTGAAATTTCCGTTTATCAGAGTAAATTGAGAACAATGTATAATTAGCAGGTTAATATACTCACTATAACAGTTTATAAAAAAATTACTTAAGAAAAATGTAGGAAGAGAAATATTCCCTTATTCAGATAATGGTATATAGCCCTTTACCTGGGGCAAAACCGTATAGCCCTATTCTGGTAAATTTCTATATAGCCTTTACCTGAGGCAACGGTATATAGCCTTTACCTATGAAATCATTGTAAAGCCTTTACTTGAGGCAACGGTATATAGCCTTTACCTATGAAATCATTGTAAAGCCTTTACTTGAGGCAATGGTATTGTAAAGCCTTTACTTGAGGCAACTGTATTGTAAAGCCTTTACCCTAGGCAATGGTATATTATTTTACCTTTTACCTAAGGGCCAATGCTATTAAAAAACCCTTTTAAACCCAAAGGCAATTTTACGTCGGCAAAAAGTATATAGCCCTCTTTAAACCTTAGAGCCCAATTTACAAAGTTCTTATTATTTTTAGAGAAAAGAATATAACCCCTTTCCCTAGAGAAACGGTATATAAGGGGCCCATTTGGAAAGTGGTAAAATCCTTTGGTTTTAAAATCCCCAGTATTTTACGGGGAAAAGGGCCCCGCAAATTTTTCACTGTCCGGGGGAAAACAATGAAATTCTCCCCCAGAAAAAACAAAAAATAACGGGAACATTTCCCAATTTGGAAATTTGTTTACCCTAAAAAAAAAGGTAAAAATTATGTTTTTACACTAAAAACCCAGCAAACCCCCTTTGCCCTAAGCCCCAATAAAAAATTTAATTTAAGTTTAAATTTTTTAATTTTTTCTTTTGTTTCATGTTTTTAATAATATTGAATTTTTTAAAACCAGTTTTAGTGTGTACATGTACAAATGTATATAGATTGTCTCTATATAAAAACATCAAGAAATATTTTAATAACTTAATTATTTTTTTCTATATCCTAGAAAGTCTAGCATTTCTACTGTAATACTGTTTATTCTTCTAGCTTAAGCAGCAGCAGACAATGACCATGACCTGTTCAAACCATTGAAATAGTTTCCACTTAAATCTCTTTGTCAAGCAAGAAATCTAACAAGAAAGTAAAGTTCAACATGATAGAATGAAAATATCAAAAGCAGTAGTCTGAATTTTCTCTTTACAAGTTTATACTGGATTTGCCTCGCATTCAAATTTGGAATAGTCAAATTTCATTTTAAGGGGTTTAGTATAAGAAATTTAAAGTTGAGCCTCCAATAGTAAAGTCAGGTTAAACTGCACCAGTCTACCCTTTTTAGGGGGGGGGGCGGCTCTATTAATTTGGGAGGGTAAAGGCTAAAGTTTTCAACTAAAAGTATTCATAAAAACCCCTTATTCCTGCATTATTATTTATGTAAAGGACTTTGCCCTATCACTTTGAGTCTTTGGGAACAGTCCATTAGAATTTAAACAAGCGATTTCAAATAAACAAATACATTGTACTAAAATTGATCTGACAACAGTATAAGAGCTTTGTCAGCATGCACAGATGTGCTAGGCTGGCAGAGCTCTGTACTGGTGCCAAAGGCCCACATGGAAGATTGGGAACCAAATTTCAAGCCTCATTAAATGAAGTAATGTTACTTACTAACTTACTTATCACATTAAGTTCCAGCAGGTTAAGGGTTAACACAGATAAAGTATATGTGTATAGGTAGATTAAGAAGGAAGCATTGTCACACTCTTTTTTCGTAAAAGCAATGTCTTTTTTTTCCACCAGAAGCCACCAGAAGACAAGCGCATGATGTTTTAGATACCAGGTAGGGCATGGACATTGTGTACTAAAATGTACCCCCAGTTTATGTATACTTTGCCAGGGATACAGTATCCGTGTATCTGATCCAAGAAATGGACAAGGCAAAGATTAAAGTAATTTATATAATGTATTTGCCTTTATCCTTGCAAGGAAAACATGTATTATGACCAAAGGATACAAAAGATAATTTATTGTTTGGTAGACTTGGTAAAAGGTGGTTGGTGTTGTCATTCAAAGCAGTCTCTCATTATTGGTCCTGATTAAGATTACTTCCATAAATGAACATATAAGAAAGAGATATGAGCCACGTCATGACAAAACCAACATAATGGGTTTGCGACCAGCATGGATCCAGACCAGCCTGCGCATCCGCGCAGTCTGATCAGGATCCATGCTATTCGTTTTACAAACCTTATAACAATAGAGGAAAATATAGTGAAACAGCATGGACCTGAATCAGACTGCCCACCAGATGCGCAGGCCTTGGCGGATCCATGCTGGTTGCAAACCCATTATGTTGGTTTTGTCATGACACAGCTCATATTTTTTTTTACTATTTCAAAGATGTGTTGATTCTAAGAATGGGTACATGCCAGACATTGAAGGAAGATTCAGTAAATTGCTCCAAAACTGGTACCCCTGTTCATGCCCTGGTATAAGAACATAATGGCATACCCTCAGTAGCTTTATAATTGTTGTCTTTTTTCTGTTTTATTGACAGGACAGTTTGAATATTCATACATGTTTAATATCAGAACAACAATGACAACAGAAATTATATTCACATTAAGTTAAATCAAAATTAAACCAAATTTGAAATAGATCGACATGTTTACAACAAAATACTGTTATACATGTACATGTGTAATTTAGTGACATGTAAACACAATACATAAGTCAACCTCTTCATTTTTCATGAGAGCAAAAATTCTACATAGCAATTTATTGGACAAACCACACAGAATGCAAGCTAGTGTGGCCCTTCCGACTTACAATTATTATCGGGAAAAAAAAACTGAGTACCATAGTTTAAACTAAAACATATGATAATTGCTTATTTTCATCATTACATGAATAAAGTGCAAGTGCTTTCTTTGTACAAAAACAATATACAGTATATCTTTTATTACCTCCCTGAAGCAATTCTGAAAATATTATCTCAATACATTATTACCAATGTAAACACATGTGCTATTTAAATACACTGATACTTTGAATCTATAAAATATAAGACATCATAATAAACAAATACCTGGTCATAAATATGTACAATGTGTAGAAGTGAAAATTCCAGAATACTGAAACTTTTAACATGAAGTTCAAGGTCATTTACAGACAAATGGGTCAAGGTCAAATGCCAGTATCTCTTGTCAAATGGGTGTGTTGTTTCTTCATATGAAGACTTACTTAAAGAATGAAAATGTTACAACCACAGGCAGATTGACAGGATGAAATCTACAAACACATCCATCTATTCATTCACTTGACAACAAATATGTCAACTTAAAGAAATCATATGATATAGAAATGAAAGCATGTCTGCACTCGGAAGTATGTTCAAGTAACATCAATCTGCAGACCTCTCTAATACAATGATAACATAATAAGTAAATTCACTTACTCATCACCACCATATTTCACAAAATCACACACTTCTCCTGTATTCTGATCCTGCAATTAATATGTATTGTTAAGTAATCCATATTTAAAAGAGAAAACATATTGCTATAAACCAGTTAAGAACTTCCCCCATACTGTTAGGCAAAACCAAAAGAGGGAAAATTCAAAAAAAATTTTAAAAACTAAGTGTCTTAAACAAATTTAAACCTTTAAAATTTAATCCAAAAATGGAAAGGCAAATTTAAAAACATACTGGTAAGAACATAAAAATTTAAAAAATATCAATTTAACATATTAAGGTGCTATTTAAAAAAATTTTTCCCGTAAATTTTAAAAAAAAGATAACAATATAAAAGGGTTTAAGGGGCCAAATTTATCTTGTTATATAACTTCAACTACCAGCATTTGAGCCAAAATTACCAGTTTCATCACATGGAGCACGTTTAAGGTAGTAAGTGACACCTCCATCATCTGTTGTATTTGTGGCATTATTGTAGAACTGTGACTTTCCCATAGAGGCTACGTATGCTGCACTCACTACATAATACGCGAAGAATGCAACCTGCAGCAGGAATGGTATCACAGGCCATACAAGTGTAAATATCATGTTACCAATAGCTCTGAAATAAAATATTTTGTATTAAAATGGCTAGTATACAAAAGATAGAAAAAAACCATTTTGATAACTTTTAAAAAGAACTGTAAGTTTTGAACATAGTTTTCCATCTCATCCTGGTTTCTTAATTACATGACTGTAGTATCTATAAGAACATTACAACAAGTAAATCAAGAGAATGAGAGAACACACGTCAAACATCAGAATGTTCTGTAAATTGATTTATTCAAGGATCTACCAGTTTCGGCCTTTCAAGACCTTCATCAGGATATATTTCAATGATACATGATTACTGAAGTACTAAAAAATCGGCTACAAAATATGACATATGTTACTTTAAATAGACATATAAGAACATTGATTGTTTGGTTTAATTGATTGTTTGGTTTAATTTATATTTTTGGTTATATCTCAGTGGTTCAGGCTCACCTAACCAGCACTCTGGATTACAAATTTCTCCACAAGTGGCCAACTACCAATCTTACATGATCTTTGAATCAGTGGTAAGAGACAAATGACCATAAGACATAAGTCCAGATCAGTTATCATGGAGAAATTTTGCCTTGTGTAGACATGACTTTCTTGGTCTTTAAAGTTCAATGTAGGCAAATAAAATCTAAGGTTTTAAAGTTCAGTGAAGACAGTTAGATCTTTAAATTTCAATAAAGGAGTGTCAAACCAAACCTAAGGTTTTAAAGTTCAATGTAGGCATTGTCAAATAAAAAACTTAGGCTTTAAAGTTTAAACTTCAAGGCTTAATCAATTAATAACTGTCTTATTTTGTTAAAAAACAACGAGAAAACTGAATTAAAATGTATTTGGTAAGTTGCCCATTAATTTATCTCTAGTTCTAACTGATTTTTTAGGGTGGCCCTTGGCCGATAGGTTAAGGTTGTTGTCTTCAAACCACTTGCCTCTGTGGATTTGAATCCCAAAAGGAACTTTGGATTTTTTTTATGTGAGTAAGCTATCCAGCTAGCTTTTGGAACGTCAGTGGTTCTACTCAGGTGCCTTTACAGACGGGCACCTGAGATCTTCCTCCACCAGTAAAAGCTGGAATGTCACTGTATGACTCATACTGTGTTGGTGCAATGTAAAACCCAAACAAACAAAAAAACAAAAAACTTTTACCTGCTAGATTCTTTAATGAGCTCAATAGCAATACAAATTCTCTTCACCAGGAAGAGGAAAATAAGCAGGAATATTAACAACAGTGTGGAACATGTACAGGCTGTAAAAAACAACAACAACAAAAACGTTTTATCTCAACACTTGCTATGTTATATTAATTATATATTAAGTAAAATAATACAGTTTTTAATCATATCAAAAAGCTTTGATACTGTTTTTAATTATTTTAAACTTATTGTTACAGTTTAAATCATATAAAAGAAACTGAAACAGTTATTAATCATATCAAAGCTATTACTGCTGTTCCAATCAAAACTATTGCTGTTGTTTCAGTAATATCAAAGCTACTGCTACGGGTTTTTCAAATCAAAGTTCTTACTGTTGTTTCAATCAAATCAAAGCTATTACTGTTGTTTCAATCAAATCAAAGCTATTGCTGAGGTTTAATCAAATCAAAGCTATTGCTGAGGTTTTATTCAAATCAAAGCTATTGCTGAGGTTTAATCAAATCAAAGCTATTGCTGAGGTTTAATCAAATCAAAGCTATTGCTGAGGTTTTAATCAAATCAAAGCTATTGCTGAGGTTTAATCAAATCAAAGCTATTGCTGAGGTTTAATCAAATCAAAGCTATTGCTGAGATTTATTCAAATCAAAGCTATTGCTGAGGTTTAATCAAATCAAAGCTATTGCTGAGGTTTAATCAAATCAAAGCTATTGCTGAGGTTTAATCAAATCAAAGCTATTGCTGAGGTTTAATCAAATCAAAGCTATTGCTGAGGTTTAATCAAATCAAAGCTATTGCTGAGGTTTTAATCAAATCAAAGCTATTGCTGAGGTTTAATCAAATCAAAGCTATTGCTGAGGTTTTAATCAAATCAAAGCTATTGTCGAAAAAAATTGAAACATGAATGTGCAAAGAGAATAAATCAAGACTTACCAAAAGCCAGCCATGTTTTCTTTAAGCCGAGGTAATAATTGAATTCTCCAGCAAACAGTGGTGATACACTATACTGCTCTGCCGGGTTTCCATTTTTCTTCAGGTAATAATATCTATCAAAACTGTAATATGTTCCTATTGAAGAAATAATACACAGATAATACATTTAAAATAAGTTCATGTAATAACATAATGTCAAGTCAAAAGATTTATTCAGTAAATAAAGGCCACCAGCCCAAAATACATATCATACAGAATGTGATATTTAACATTATAAAGTTGTGTCGTTTACAAGTTTTGACAAATTCTCATTACATCTAATTACTACTGTGCTATAAAGATTATGAGGTGGTAAATATAAGTAGAGATTTTCTTAATTATAAAATTATAATTTGATGGAAGTTATTCATAAAAGTTATGTAATTCAGTTCCGAAATTATACCAGTTTAGTAAATAGGTATTTCTAATTTCTTAATATTTGTTACAAAGAAAAAAAGCATGATATTCACAGTCAATGTGTTAAGTTAAATGATTTTCGATTTAAAAGTTGCATAAACATGAATATCTGGTGAATGCTTCCCTAAGTAACTTTAGTTTAAAACATGGCTTAACTATGAGAAAAAGTATGAAATGTTTTAGCCAAAGTGACATTGATGATGTTCATGGTAATCATCATCCATAGGTAGTGACTATGACACGTTCAACCTTAAACTTCCTCGATAGATAGAGGTACATGGAACACACCAAATATGTCATAAATGAAGGTGTTTCATGAAAATAAACAAATTTTGGTGTCACTTCAGAGCTATCTGCCCTTGAATCATAATATTCTACTTATTCATTTCTTATACATATGTCTATAAAATCTTGCTTTTAATTCTGAATTATGTTTTTCTTTATATTGTTGATAGTAATAAACAATTAAAAGTAATTTCATATCTTATTTCTGTTTCAAGTCTTTAAAAAAGAATAGGACATTTTTTAAGAAAAAAAGTCACAGATTTAGAAAAGAAGGGGGAAAAAAGCCAAACCACTCTTTATTCTTTATTGAAATTTTGCACATTGAATCTGACTCAAACAGAAGTAAACTATATAAAATAAGCAAAGAAAATAGGTTAATGATATTTACCAAATGCCCATACTCCGAGAAAGAGAACAAGAGTAACCCAGACTATAATTCCTGCTATAAATCTTAAAAGTATGATCCATATAAAACAGAACACTGCTGCTCCTCCTAGACACCTGTAAATAAAAAAAAAAATATTCATCATCATCTCTATCGTCATCACCAGCAGCAGAATCATTACATCATCACCATCATAATTATCATCATCACCACCACCTACTATCATAACCATCATCATCATCATTATCATCATAATAACAATCTCATCATCACCATCATTATCATCATAATAACAATCTCATCATCATCATCAAAATTATCATCATCATCATAATAACAATCTCATCATCATCAAAATTATCATCATCATCATAATAACAATCTCATTATCATCAAAATTATCATCATCATCATCATCATAACAATCTCATCATCATCAAAATAATCATAATCATAACATCATCATCATCATCACCACCACCACCACCATCTACTATAATCATCATTTACATCATGAACAACATCAACATCATATTCATATCATCACAACTGTTAACATAACTATCATTACATCATCATCATCAGCTTCATCATCTTCATCAATATTATCACCTTTATCTAACATTATGTCACCATCGCAATTGTGTTGTCAATATACTGAACGATTGTGGGTTCAATATCAAATTCATTGAAAAAAGTTTAATAAAATCATTTTATGCAAGCCTGTGGCGAGCAAGGTATGGTTTAATTCAACTTTTTCAATAACTTTAGTATTGAATCTACACAAATATAATATTCTATTTATCACATACCAAAAATAAGATCTGTTTATGGTGAAAAAAGATTCACTTATACATTAACGAGCATATGGTGTAAGGTAATATGGAACATCTTTATGCTATTTGTGTAACGTAAATGATGTAACAACAAAATATATGCTATGCCATGCAATACCACTTTTATGAAGTTATAAAAGCGGAACAGGTGTGTGACAAAAAATAATATTAAGTTTTCATGGAGTCTTTAACACTATTCCTTCGAACAGATGACCAAAGTTTACCGTTCAAAGCAGAACAGTTTGGTAAAGGCTAAGAACATAATCAACGAAAAGGTTTCTGATCTATGCTATTAACTCTTGCTTTCACAATACTTTTTCTGTACAAATTAAAATAATAATTAATAATTGAGCTTGGTGAAAAAAGGAATACTTACGCAAGAATAAGCCACCATGCATTAACACAATCTTTGAACACTAATTCCCCATAATTCTTCAATGCATAAAACTTTGCCAGATACCTATAATATAACAATATGGAAATAAATTCAGTGTTCATAGGATTCTGATTAAAATGTTTGCCAACATATTTGCAATACATATTCTGGTGATTTTTTCTGTTTTGAAAATAGGTGAAGACATTTATTTTATGGCTGTACCTATGGGATTATTTTTCAGCTTTTAATTTTTTTTTCTGGTATTACAATATAAGATAATATAAACTATGCAATGTTTAGATTTTTAACATTCTTTCTCCTACAACCTACTTAAAACAAACTCATCCAAAATCTTGACAATTAGTCTCACTTCATAAAATTATTTCAGACTATAAGGATTAAATTTCTTAATAATTTAATTAAAGCTCTTGTAATAGCTATAGTATTACATACATCCTTTCATTAGAGTCACCAGTCCTTATAAGCAAAAAATGTTAGTTAACTGAAAATGATGAAAATACTTGAAATTACCCTAAATCGCGTTTTTTCATGTTTAAACATGGCCTGTCATATAAATTTGAAGAAAAATTGTTGTTTTGCAGATTTTTTGATTTTTTTCATTAACCCATTACTTCATGAGCATTTCGTGAAAAATGGCTGTTTTCATTGAAAAGTCTCCCGTTACAAGTTCAAATTGCTATAATACTATAAAAACTGCTTCAACACTAATCAAACTTGGCACAAATGTTGACTGGACCATTGCACTTGCAACAACATGCTCAGGCTTAAATTTTCTGTTACCATGGCAACGAGGGGACATCTCAAAATTGCCAAAAATCACTATTTTGCGTTGATTTTTTCCATCAAAATTGATTTCAAAGTGCTGCACTTTCTCAATGGATTGAGATAGAGTCAAATGCTTTTCAGCGTTGGTTACACGTTACCTTATGATCAATCTGGGGTCATTTACAGCCTCTCACAAGTCCAAAATTTTTCTTGCGATGAGGGGGACTCCGCCCCCCTTCAAACCCCCCAAACAGAAGGGGGCACATCCCCTTTCTGGCAACCCCCTGATGTATCTTTTGGTTGGGGGGCCGCGCCGAAAAAGAGGTCACTTTTTTTAACAACATTTCTCAAACAAATACAAGTGTTTGGGGCCTAAATAAGGCATTTTTTCATCATTTGAGACAACAAAAAGGGGGGGGGGGTGAAAAAGGCGTTAAAAGGCGTGTATATGAAGTAATGGGTTAAAAGGGGGTATAACACCCAAAAGTTAAGCTTTCAGAAAAATGACCCTTGTCTAACAACCATGACTTGTGTTAATATGATAAGCAAGTATTCCAAGATTCATGCTGATACTTTTCTTTGTTTTAAAAACATTCTATCTACTAAATAGTTAATTTAAAAAAATAAAAAGTTAAAATGAAGCTTACTCTAAAAACAAAGCTTTCAGAATCATGCTAATTGTCTTAAAACTGTATCCTAAAACTTGTCATGATCAGCAAGTATTACAAGTTTGCATGCCAACCATGACATAGTGATCCTTATAGCTTACATAAGTTTATCATTTTGTTCGAAACAGACGAGTTAAATAAATTCAAAATTTAAAATCACAGGAAAATGTGTTAGGTGTTGAAGTGGCCAATCAGAACCTAGTATTAATAAATCCTCCTCTTTTGCTGATAAGCCTGCTTCTGCAAAGGCCAATCAGAGCCGAGTATTGATAAACCTGCCTCTGTTGCTGGTAAGCCCACCTCTGGCTAGCCTCTGCATGTATGTTTATATTTCAATTATTGCCAAGTCTGTGATTGTGAGTGCATCTGTATAAATGCAATAAAGCTATATTAAGCCATCCAGTTTAGGTTCTGTTATATTGTATATATGCACTGACAACATTTATAGGTGTACTTACTGACTGGCTGTATTTAAAACATCTCCATTAATAGAAGTGCCATCAGCAGCCTCTAAACCTGTACCACCAGTTGTTGTCATCTGTGCTGCATAGTCTAACCCGTCAATAAACACAGACGGAATACAACGTCCAACAACTGAAATAGTCGAACAATTGCTTTAATATATGTCTAATTGTCAATTATCACCCCTAGAACCATCCAAAAAACTCATGATATAACCATCATTTCCACTTGTGTCTCAAGTTTTAAATATAAAACAATCTTTTATTTCCTATACATCTGAACTGTATTTGCTCAAATTTATGACAAATAAAAATATTGTAATTCATTTGTTGAATATTCATCAAGCAGCTCACTGACTGCAAAGCTGAACAACATTACTTCACACCAGAAGTGGCTTAGAGAATTGTTATTCAAAGTATACAAATGTGTACATTCAGGTGTGTGCAATATTTCAGACACTAGCCAGCACAGAAGGAGAACCATCAACCTTCCGTAAACTGTCTGAATATGTTTCTGGCATGAAAAGAGACCAAAACTCCTGGTGGGATTCAAACTCACATTAGTAAAGAGGGATGAGTTATTTAAAGTCTGCAGTCTTAACAACTTGGTCATCATGAAAGACTACATACTGTCAGTCAAGAATTAACATTATAAAACATAAACATACGCTCAGTTGTGGGAACATTATAAAACATAAACATACGGTCAGTTGTAGGAACAATTATAAAACATAAACATACGGTCAGTTGTGGGAACATTATAAAACATAAACATACCGTCAGTTGTGGGAACATTATAAAACATAAACATACGGTCAGTTGTGGGAACATTATGAAACATAAACATACGGTCAGTTGTGGGAACATTATGAAACATAAACATACGGTCAGTTGTGGGAACATTATAAAACATAAACATACGGTCAGTTGTGGGAACATTATAAAACATAAACATACGGTCAGTTGTGGGAACATTATAAAACATACATACGGTCAGTTGTGGGAACATTATAAAACATACATAGTCAGTTGTGGGAACATTATAAAACATAAACATACGGTCAGTTGTGGGAACATTATAAAACATAAACATACGGTCAGTTGTGGGAACATTATAAAACATAAACATACGGTCAGTTGTGGGAACATTATAAAACATAAACATACGGTCAGTTGTGGGAACAAAGTAGGCAGCACACAGGTCTGTATCTATTACTGTGTCCTTGACCTCTGTTCCCTGAAAAAACAAAAGTAAAACACATTATTTATCACATAAACCACTGCTCAAGAGTGTAATAAAGCTATTTATTAAAACCAATATTACACTACTGGTACAAATTTCATAGCTGTACATTAAATGACAAGAAAGTAGGTCAGTACATCAAAATATAAATCTGCTGATTTTTTTTCTCAGTCCAAAAAAAACTAATATAAAATACATGCAGAAGGAAGAATAATTTAAAACATGAATAATAATGAAGATTTACATTGTTCTCGATTTTGCAATTTTTTACACAAATATAAAACCTTTTCCAGTAACTTTATATCAACTAATCAAGTACCACCCAGACCATACAGCAGGTTGCACAGTATTTGGTCTGATACAAAGCCCTCTTGTCAAGCTGTTTGAAAAATTACTCAATATTTATCCTGAATTTTGAGAAACTTAGATCAAACTTAGCAAGAGATGTTGGACAGCGATGCTCGACTATTCAAAAAAGTTGTCACAAGGGTGTTTCATTGAGTATATTAATGCTTACCTATATGAATACATAAAATTGACCAAAACGGTACAAAGGCTTGTTATTAAAGTTTTATCATGTAAATCACTGCTTTATTATTATGAATGCATGAAATTGTCCCAAAAAAGGCACAAAATCTTCAGTAGTTTAATGGAGATACAAGCTTAACCAAGAATTTCTATGTAGAAAAAGGGGCATAAATATGCAAAAAAGCAATGTTATGGGACTTGTGCCAATCATGTAAGATAATCACAGACAATGCGTGTGTGAAGTTTCAATCCATTCCCTCCAGTAGTTATGGAGGTACCAGCTTACACACAAAAACTTAACCAAGAATTTCTAAGTCGAAAAAGGGGCATTATTATGCAAAAAAGCAAATCAGAGTTATGGGACTTCTGCCAATCTTGTTAGATAATCACAGAGAACAAGTGTGTGAAGTTTCAATAAAAATCCCTTCAGAAGTTATGGAGATACCAGCTTACACACATTAACCAAGAATTTCTTAGTAGAAAAAGAGGCATAATTACGCTAAAAAGCAAATCAGAGTTATGGGACTTGTGCAAATCATGTTAGATAATCACAGAAAACAAGTTTGTAAAGTTTCAATCCATTCCCTTTAGTAGTTATGGAGATACCAGCTTACAAGCAAAAACTTTACCAAAAATTTCTTAGTCGAAAAAGGGGCATAAATATGCAAAAAAGCAAACCAAATTTATGAAACTTGTGCCAATCTTGTTAGATAATCATGGAGAACAAGTGTGTGAAGTTTCAATCCATTCCCTTCAGTAGTTATGGAGATACCAGCTTACACGCAAAATCTTAACAAAGAATTTCTATGTCGAAAAAGGGGTATAAATATGCCAAAAAGCAAATCAGAGTTATGGGACTTAAGCCAATCTTGTTAGATAATCACAGAGAACAAGTGTGTGAAGTTCCTATCCTATCCCTTCAGTAGTTATGGAGATACCAGCTGACACGTAAAAACTTAACCAAGAATTTCTAAGTCGAAAAAGGGGCAAAAATATGCAAAAAAGCAAATCAGAGTTATGGGACTTGTGCCAATCATGTAAGATAATCACAGCCAACAAGTGTGTGAAGTTTCAATCCATTCCCTTCAGTAGTTATGGAGATACCAGCTGACACGTAAAAACTTAACCAAGAATTTCTAAGTCGAAAAAGGGGCAAAAATATGCAAAAAAGCAAATCAGAGTTATGGGACTTGTGCCAATCATGTAAGATAATCACAGCCAACAAGTGTGTGAAGTTTCAATCCATTCCCTTCAGTAGTTATGGAGATACCAGCTAACACACAAAAACTTAACCAATAATTTCTAAGTCGAAAAGGGGCATAATTATGCAAAAAAGCAAATCAGAGAAATGGGACTTGTACCAATCATGCTTGCATACCAGCTTGCATGTAAAAACTTAACCACATGGATGCCGATGCCGACAAATGGGTGACTGCATTAAATTGATTATTCTGTGAATAGTCAAGCTAAAAATTAAGCAGTCATTATTTGTGGCAGATAAGCTTTTGTCTAGCTTGGAAATAATTAAACAATGACTCAATTAACAAGATAACAAGTAAGATGAAAACAAATATATATAAATATTTACAGCATTAGCTCCACCACGGACAGTGCTCTCTTTGTCTGTTACACTATTTTTGCACAACATCTCTTCAAAGTCAGCGGGGACAGAACTTGATGCAGTATATTTTACTTGTAATTCTACATATACCCAATAACTAGACGGACAGCTTGCTACACATACCTGTGGGAATAAGAAACAAATCATCCTTTTATTTATTAAAAAGCCGAAAATGATAAAAAAAAATTCGGAAGTGAGACTGCAGAAATTAATTTATGTTTGGTGCTAAAGAAACATAGTGAATGAAAATCAATGAGTGAAATAATATATAAAATAAAAAGTGTAATTTATTTAGAAGTAATAGTTCTGGAAAAAAAATCAAGTTTGTGATTATGAAGCCTGTAATAGCTTGAAAAACGAGAGCTGTCACGCAAAGGGGGCAAAAGCCCCAAAAGAGGTTTCTTAAGCATTGCAGAAAGATATAATGAAAAGAAAAGAGAATGCAAGTAACTAATTGCTTAATATTGTTCTTGTGAAATGAAGTACTATTTATAGTAAACTTACCACCTTGGGACAAGGGTCTTGGATGCAACACATCATCTTGATGTGTTAGACATTAATGTTGAGATTAATTTCCCATTTCATAAAGTTTTAGATCATTAACTTGTGTGCAAAATTGCAGATCATTCCATTTTTCCCAGAAAAATTGTGAACAAGAGGGCCATGATGGCCCTGAGGTCGCTCACCTGTATATAGGCCTCCCCCCCTCCCCCTTGCAGGGCCAATTTTAACCCACGGGCTTTTATTTGAACAAACATGGTGGACACCCATAAGAAGATGTTTCATGCTAAACATCTAAGCTCTAGCTCATTGGGTTTTTTTCAAAGAAGATTTTTTAAGTTTTTACTATACACATATAGTTAAAATAATGACACCCCTGGGGCGGGGCCAGTTTTGACCCCAGGGCTTTTATTTGAACAAACTTTGTAGACACTTACTAGAAGATGTTTCATGCTTAATATCTAAACTCTATCTATTCAGGTTTTTTCACAGAAGAGTTTTAAGTTTTTGCAAAACCCATATAAGGAAAATCAATGACCCCCGGGGCGGGGCCAATTTTGACCCAAGGGCTTTTATTTGAACAAACTTGGTAGACACTCACTAGAAAATGTTCCATGCCAAATATCTAAGCTCTAGCTCTTAGAGTTTTTTAAAAGAAGATATTTAATGTTTTTTCTTTCGGTTGCCATGGCAACCAGAGTTCTGCATGGAATTAAATTCTTTGGACAATTTTTAAAGGTGACCACCAAAAGAACATTCCCGTGAAGTTTCGATGAAATTGGCTTAGTGGTTTATGAGGAAATGTCATTTAAAGTGAAAGTTTACGGGCGGACGCCGGACGGACGCCGGACGGACGCCGGACGGACGAAAAGCGATCACAAAAGCTCACCCTGTCACTTTGTGACAGGTGAGCTAAAAATTAGCAAAAATTGAAAAGTGTTGTAATGCATTTCACTCAAATCTTGTTAAGAATAGCACAGAAATAATTTCTGGGTATATTTTATATGATCTTTTGCATATCTTCATGTTTTAAGTGCCAAAGTTATTTTATTTATAAATTTCAAAATTTATGTTTTTACTAGGCTTTTGGACATCAGTGGAGTTCCTTTAATAGTAAATCAGCAAACAATTAGCAGCAAAATGTTAGGATAAGGAAGAGCAGCTCCTTAGGTCTGTACAGGTTGCAAAATAATGAGGCTAGTAAATACTGCTATAAGCTATCAGAAAATTGATATATGTAATGAGTTATACTTACAGAAGGTGTTGGACATCCTGTTGCTATTGCTGCAACGCCAACTTTAGTACATTGCAAAATATCAAAATATGCCAAGTAGGGTTTTGATCTGTAAAAGATTTTAAGAACTACATGTCATTAAGTTTTTAAAGTGGAATAGTAGCTCAATGGCTTAATGGGCTATTAAAGCATGAGTTTCTAGAATTTGGTTGAATCATAAACCTATTGTAAACTAGCTTGGCAAAAATCCAAGATGAACCCTTTCAAGTCAGGGTAATGTAATTTTGAACTCGGGTACAGAAGACTCTCATATACAAGTATAATAAATAAGATAGATAAACAAGAATGGTAAAATCAATGGATTTCTTTGTATTATTAATACAAGGACAGGTTTACAGGTATTATCAATATTGATGTTAAAATCAGGTGAACAAACAAAAGTATTGAACAGGATGTGGCCAATGCTATCAAAACATTAAATCAAATAGCATGATTTCAAATTTTCAATATATCATAGTTCACTACTGAATTCCTTATTTGAGGATTACATAACTCTTTATGTGTTGTTTTGTTAAATTTTTCTACTTTCAGTATCTAATAAATCAAAAGGTTGCTTGATTTTATACACAACAACTGTGTTAGAAAGGATTTTTAAAATTTAGTCAAAACTTACTTATAATCACCAACTCCACACATATTCCCCTCCGAATCTGTTGGGTACACCAATTTCTTTGGATCTCCATAGCCAAAGCCTTAAAAATAGTGGAACCAGTCAAAATTATAAGAAAATACCACATGTGTTAAAACCATTATTACCGGTATTAAAAATTAAGTTTTGATGTATTTTCTTAAATTCCTTCAAAACAAGGATATTAAGGCGATTCTACTTTTAATTATTTGACCAGTACAATGATTATATACATTTGTAAATCCTAAATATGAAGATTGAGTTAATAACCATTTAGAAATGTATTTTACCTGCACTAAATTTGTGGGACAGGGTTTTCAATATTCATAATAAGCTAAAAGTTAAGTGTTACATTTTTTCCAGTTCTTCATGATCATTGATTAAAATATTTAACAGATCATTATTTCCCAATTATGAAGAGTATTTTCTTCCATATTAGACAGGGTTTTCTACAGTTTACACCAGTGCATGGCAATTCTGTCTTACACCCCCCTATGTAAAACAAGTTATAGGCTTAAAATGACCTTATCCTTTCACGCCTTTCATGAATGAATTGCATGCTTAGGATGGCATCATGTAGTTGTTACCTAAATTCATATGCTGCTATTAGAACAGTAATAAACAAATGTGTCACAGCCCAGTGAGAACAATGTGCAGCCTTACTGGGACACGAACCCGGAACCCTCGGAATACCGTTCTGCGGCTCTACCGACTGAGCTAAATAGTGAACAGTTCTGAATCATGCTATATGTGTCTCTCAATTTCTTTCAGGAGAATATGTTTTTCTTTATAAAATGCAAGAAAAAGAATCAAACACAAGATAAAGTCACAGACATGAGAGGAGAATATCTAGCTCTCAGATAACAATTTGGCAGAGTTTCGTTACCAAGTTACCAACGTGAACAGTTACTCTTGAGCTAGATATTTTGGTCTGTTCTGGCAGCTGGTGTAAGATCCTTATAAGATACCTACCTACAGCAGAAACAATCAACTACCTGTCTAAGGTATAAAGGTGAAACAGGATACCTACCTACAGCAGAAACAATCACCATTCCTGTGACACATATCACAAATAACAAACAGCAAATGATGTCTGTACATGATCTGAAAAATATAGTCAACAATAAAATCATTAATCCAGTGTTAATATGTAAATACTTTTAAAGGATATTTTCATGGTTGCATTGATAAATGGTGTCAAAAGTAACGTGTTTGAAAAATATTTCCTAAATATTACCATTTTTGAGGCTCAGTACATGTGGGCCTTTAAGCTTTCCAAATCAGCAATGAAGCTTGTTCATAGATACTTTTGTTCATATACATGTATAATGAAAGACCTATCATAAGTTTAGTATTACAGATCATTCAGGCATACTTGGATATGCATTACATTATTCATTTATTCCTGCACACCTGAATTTTGTAGAGCTGTCATTGATGCAAAATTTTGTATTGATGTATTGAAAGTCAATTTTTAACGATACATCAATATATCAAATTAAATAGCTAGTAAAATGGAAACCATCTCAATATAATAATGGTATAAAATGCCATCATTATATAATGCATGAATCAGATATTGATAAGTAAGGGAAAGTAAGTCCCTTATAGGAGTAAAGTCATCATAAAAACATGATATGACCTTGACAACACTGGTGTGACTTCAAATCAAACAAACAAAACATTCAATTTCATCACCCTATAAAAGATTTCAGTAAAGGTTATTTAAAGGTAAAGACACTTATAATAGATCCACATATACTGTTAAAAATACCTATCAAATGTATCAACTTACAGTCTTATTGTCACCTGCCATAATGTAATTTAAGACGTTTATTGTAAATCATGTCACCATAGCAACCATATAAAATTCTTAGAAAACATAAAAGAATCATGGAATAAGTTTTCTCAATATTTTCTTTAAGTGCCAAGGGAGTAATGACCCATTTATAATCAGTATATTTTAAACATTTTGTTCTATTAAAAAACCCGGTAGGTAAATATCAAAACTAGCACTGTTGGGTGGGAAACAAATAATTTTTTATTAAAGTATTTTATATTATGTCTTTTTTAAAACCAATATTTGACATCTATATAGACATCCTTTTTTTTTTTATTCAACTCAAAGTTATCTTGCCATTGTCACTAGTATAGGGCCCGCTCAATTTTTATACTTTGCTGAAATATATTTAAAATCCCTTAAAACTTTGTGATGGTAGTGGTGGTAGTTTACCCTCTGGATCAAGGCAGTAAGCCACATTTAATTTACCACAGCACAGTTCAACCACCGCATCGTTCCTGAGCAGGCTGTCAAACAGTTTACCAGTACTAGTTGCCTTCACTTTCCCAAGGATCTGGTAACTTCTACACAACTAAGAGCAGAGGTACAGTGCAAATGACCATAGAAAGGATTTAATGATCAATCACAATGAAACAAAAGTGACCTGCACCATATGGGAATCGAACTGTGGTCACCTGATACACTGTCCAATGCTCTACCAATCAACCTCACTAGGCATTTTTTCCCTTAAAACTTGAATGAACTTTTCCAAATTTACAGCAGAGCATTTAAGAACTTTAGTTTGTTTTGATCGGGTTTTATGTCACACCGACACAGTATAGGTCATATTGCGACATTCCAGCTTTACTGGTGGAGGAAGACCTCAGGTGCCCTTCTGTGCATTATTTCAGGCAAGAACGGGCACCTGAGTAGAACAACGGACATTCCGTAAGCTAGCTGGATAGCTTCCTCACATGAAAGAATCCAAAGTCCCTGTCGGGATTCGATCCCCCAGCGGTGAGGGGCAGGTGGTTTGAAGTCAACAACCCAAACCACTTGGCAACGGACGTGCCCTTTAGGGCATTTAAGAACCTCAGTAGGTAAATGGTTTAACATTCCCCTATATCTTAATCAATATATATCAAAGAAATTTTGACTATATCCAAACTATGTAGGATGAAAAAGATAAACTATGTGGGTTGACAAAAAAAAACCCAGTGTTGTACACTGTAGTTTATCTTAAGTCTTATCAAATGCACAATTTATGCAAGTGGTTGTACATAATTATTTAATGAAATTGTGACATTTGCATGTTTGCAGGCATCAAATTTCATGTTATTAACATTTTACTGGCTACAATCTCCTTTTAAAATGAAAATGATTTTATTTTTCTAACTACACAGACGTTTACCAGGCTTTCCCATTGATCCCTTTCTTTGGATTCCTTAAGAAAATGGATCCCCATTCCAAATGGCAGAAATGTTTATCAGCAAAATACATGTATTGGCTTAGTAAAAGCTTTTCACGATTCTATTCATACCAGTGTACAAGTGTTATAGGTATGTTAACAATCTAGAATAAGCCGATTTTAAATATCACTTCTATTGTTCAACCAGTACGTAAGTTAGTATGTGTGTAAGTTTTAAAGTCAGACTTTACCTGTTTTTTATTGGTCCTTTAAAATTCTTCTTGTGTTCCTTTGGCTTTCCTGCAAAAATAAAGCAGAACTGTTTTACATACCTACAAAACATTAGTTACAAATTGACAAAACAAAATGGAAATATTTGGAAACAACAAACAATATTTCACTCATATAAGTAACAGACTGTGGAAACTGATCACCATTCCAATTTTCAAAATCACTGGAATCTCTTAAAAGTATGTAAATTATTCATATACATGTATATAAAAACTATTGTGTGTAAAAAGTCTTCAAGTTTTTTTTTTTATAAGTGGGGAGTCAAAATTGTCGCCACACGGGAAAATTTAAAAGATCTTAATTCATATATATCAACAGGAAGTTTTAAAAAAGGGGATTCCTGGAACTTTATTTTGTTTATTCAATTTATAACAAAAAAAGTACATTTCATTTTGTATGATGCATGAAATCACATGCAGAAATAATGAAACCCAATATGCCACTTAATTGTTATAAACAAGCTTTTGTTAACATTTTAAGAAAATATTAAAACTGTAATCCAACCCTTTCAACCAGATTCAAACAATTTGAAACTACTTAAATAATATCAAAAGGTAGTTTAAAATTTCAAATTTCAAAAAAAAGAACCACAAATATCCAAACATTAACCGCCTAAAATGTAATTTTATATCAACCATTATAGGCTATGTCTTATATCAATTGAGCTGTGTCATGACAAACCAACATAATGGGTTTGTCACCAGCATGGATTCAAACCAGCCTGCGCATCGTTGATCAGGGTCCATGCTGTTCGCTATCAGTTTTTCTACTTTTTATGAGTTTTTAAGGGGAAAAGCTGGACCTGATCAGACTGCGCGGGGTGCGCAGGTGGCTGGGTCCCCGCTGGGGCAAAACCCCCTAGTTTGGGTTTTTTCATGACGGGCTCAAATTAAAAACATTTAATTACATTTACAAATTTCCCGGTCTCCCATTTTTGTCTTTAATTAATATATAACATGTAAAATCACCCTTACATTTTATAAAAGAAATGTCCCCCAACATTTACCATATTTAATGTTCTTTTTCTCATACATACCACCCGAAATATCTTAAATGGACTTGCCATTCTTTCAATCATGACAAATCTATTCATTATTTTTAGGGAAAATTTCAAAATATGTACTGACTGAATAACAAACAGTGAAGACCATGATCAGACAGCTCACAGAACGTGCTAGCTGATCTTAGTCTGCACTGGTGACATGGGTAGAATCTATTGCCACCAGTTGGCTATATAAGGGTCTATTTCTTTCCATATATATATCAAAATTTCATAAATAACATTATTAAAGTTTTCATATTTTTACCACAGAGTCCCTGAATAAATAATGCTGTATAATTTGTTCATGCCTATTATAGAAATCCTGATGCACAATATTACAACCTTGGCAGATAAGACAAAAAGTTTGGTTATAATACTACTACAAAGGTGTCACAATTCTAGAGATCTTAATTTTTTTATTTTTCAGTGCTACTTTGGGAAGAATTGATTGCTGTTTGTGCTAATTAAAAGGTCATTGCATTTTTAAAAGAGGTTTATCTGCACAAATACCAAGCATCTATGATATTAGCTAACCCATCAGCACCTAGTGATCACCATGGCAATGCCATTTCCAACCCTTGGGGCATTAATTCAACAAATGACCACTAAATAATGATTTATGCTAAATATCAAAACTTTGGGTTCATGAACATTTGAAGAAGAAGAATTTAAATGTTTCGCAATATGCATGTACCTATTATTTAGGCATCATGAAGCGTTTGCCTTTTAGAATTAGCTCTTTTAAAGAAAAAAATCAAGGCTAATGGGTGACAAAAAAAGAATGTTCTCTGCAAGACTATATGAAATCAAATAAAAAATTGCTTTGGCAAAATAGGCTTATATTTGCACCTTACACAACACTGCAATGCATTAAGGGATCAGGTCAGTCAAAATTACTAATTGAAGATTTAGTGGTATTGCAAGTTTGGTAAAATAAGGGAAAGAAATGCAACTATGCAGACAATTTTGTCAATTTAAGGGTCCATAACTCTGTCATTTATGATGGGTATCAGTCTGCTTTTAAATAAAGTACCATGTTAGACTGTTGTTAAAACATCCGGGTGGACATGCAACCAAATTTGGATAAAGGGACAATTCTATTGTTATTTTCTTTTATTTAATCGAGGCCCTTCCTCTGTTGTGACCCAACAAAAAGTTCTGGCTGAAGTTAAACACTCAATTTTCATGCAAATTTTTTATCAAATTGTATACAAATAGTTCTCAAAATATGCTAATTTCAATTAAAATTGCAAATTCTTATGAAAAAAGTCATACTTATTACACTGAGATGACTATTAAAACTTAATATCAACAGTTTAACTTCCAGTTTAATACATTACTTTCTTATACATAACATTATCTTAAAAACTTTTATATTTAATTTCAGCAAAATGAAAAAATTTATTGTAGGATTATTGCACCGGAGGGCATTGTGCGTCATAAATATACAACAATAAATTAAATTCTATTATATCTTTAAATGGCTTAGCCTATATCACCAGGCTAATTTATAAATATTTGCTAGGATCAATTTCTAGTGCGGTATAAAAACAGCGCTTTTATTATACTTGTTCTACTTGTATATATTATAAATTCTCCTACTTTTGTTTAAGATCATCATTATCTTTTACTTTTTGCCCTTTTGTAAATTCTGAATTACGGTACATTTATAAATATATATATTGGTAAATCTAATCCTGCAGTACGTTCTTAATTATAAGTGCATGCACAAATAAAGGTCAAACTGACGAAGTATGAAGATTTAACACTTGTTAACCTCTATTAAATATTTATGAGTTTATTGATTTGTATACTGTTGGCTTTTAATAGATTTGCTTTCATAATTAAACAAGAAATATTCCCTACTTGCCCACCATCAACACAAGCTTCATTAAACATAAAATAAAAATTACCAATTAGTAAACACGTTTTGAATGGACTCAATCATAGATGTATCTATTATCAATAATGTACAGGAAGTTCATAATGCGGGAGCCCCGGTTCTTTCCAATTAGAGACTCTGAGGCGTTCCAGAACATCAATGGCTGCATAGATAATCAGTTAACATTTATAGTATGTAATGCAACACTAATCATTTGTAACCCAATCTCCTCCTACAGCATTAAATTAAAGCAGCAATTGCCTTTAGATTCATGGTAATTTTCATGAAAATTTTGAAAATGTATTTGAACTTAAATTATTGTTGTGAACACAAAAAGTATAATTTACACATTGCAAATGCCACTTATATACAATCCAGGTAAATTACCAAAAGAGGTCAAAGTATGCAAAAATAGTCCTAACAGCTTACTGCATTAATCACACAGTAGAAGACTATCAGTCGAACACAGTAGAAATATGGTGATAAATACTGTAAAATCAAATTTTAATTGCACATAACAAGTGGATCATTACTGGAACCTTTTTACTTTTCTCAAGATCTTGGAACACTTTTCTCAAGTTTGTTTTTCTTGAAATATTTAAGCTCATCTGCAGGCATGCAGCTTTGAAGGGAAAAATGGTTCCACAATATTTAAAATTTAAATGGAACTATAATATTAATATACATTTTATAAATTCAGTGTTATAACAGGTATATAAATGTTAAATTAACTATTGAGATTAATGTTAATATTCTCTCTGTTATAGAAAATAATGCTTTGATGTTCTTAAGCACAGTTTCTTGCATAGTGGTATTCATTTTTACAATATCAAATATAGGATGTTTTTTCAATAAGTTTATTAACTACCATTCTTATGTCTGTGACTTTTTAAGGTATTCATCTGGAAAAATTGACATTCATCATTTCAGTGTTTATTTGATGAAGTGAGGCTTATACACCAGTTGGTTTAAACATATTTATTTAAGCTTGATTGCAAAACAAGTTCTTACAACTTATATAAATCATTTTTGAGTCTACTTCCTGGAACCAATCAGTACCTGAGGGTCATATGAAGAAAAATGGTAGTGACCCGATTAGGGCTCAAACCCATGATCCCTGGGTTGAGAGGCAGACACCCTAACCACTAGGCCACTATACCAGTTAACTGTATGCTGGTATCCCAACCTAGAGGTTTGAAATGACCCAAGATTTTATTCTCCATCCATGCATTGCTAGGTTACAATGCAGTGGTTATGTGGAAATATAGAGGGGGTTAAGACATTAAACTCCCAGTGTGACTTATATATAAGTTAGCTGAGATTTTACAATCTTACTATTAGGGCCCCAAACCAGGAGTTTGTTCATCAAATAGTCCAGTTATTACCCTCTGGTAGGGGTACCAGGGTTACAACTGACTCAAATTTCACATTTCTAAATGATTTTTTTTAAAGCATGTTTTTCTAAATGATCTTTGATTTTAGAAAAAAAACCTGTTTCAAGATACTTCCTGGATGTAGTAACTCAATATCAGATAACACAAGTGTGGGAATACGGATGTTAAAATAGAATCTCATCACAGGTCATGACCTCTTTAATACAATCTGATACCCTACCATACCTTAGTCCAAAACATTACATGTATCTGCTTTTTCTTGTTTATGTAAGGCTTGCCAAATAAAATTATAGCAAGCCGATACGTCTTATCTAAAGGTTGTCAGTTTGAAACATGATAAATATTTTTTACTTTCATTATCCCAAATTGTGTGATCTTGGGTTGCGGCAGGAAGCAGCCATCTGACATGACTTAATGTGCATTCCAAGAAAGTGGTTTCAAAGAATTGAAAAACAAGCCCAAATTATTTGATGTCTTCAAGAGATATTAAGATAATTTTTATCAAGATATTACTTTAAACAATACAAACTCTCGGCTTTTATTAATTTAAGTTGGATTTAAATTCTAGTACAAATATAATTATAGTTGGATTAATGAAATTATTATGTATCTTAAAAGCTCAATGAGTCAAAGACAATAACGTGTATTTATAAGTGTGTAATTTTATATCTCGGTGTGTCATTTTATAAATATAGGAATCGATGTCTAAAACTGTGACATCAATTAAATATTACGTACACCTGTCTACAGGTAATCAGCTAATGTTTACACAAGGAAAATTAAAAAGTTCTTTATACCGTATTTCTCTCCGGTATTTTCATCATCATCAACTTGATTCCCACCACACATCCTTAAATTTTGTGTGTCAGTTATTTAATCCGAAATTTAGTCCCTGTTTAACACGTTAATGGGAGTTAAAAATAGCGAAATCGTGTAATTCCTTCCTTGATTCTAAAGGAACTATCAACATACATGTATTGATTCTCTTGTCCAATCAAATTTCACGACTACGGTCACATGATCTTAAGCGAGCGTCCAGTCACCATTGGTTACCAGGTAACACTTCTATGGAACGCCGAAGTCACACAAAATCAGTAACGCCGAAGTTAAAAATAAATGCACGCATAGGTTGCATTATTATAATTAGCCTAGATCGTCTTATTTCATTATTTAAAAGCATCAACATGATTATAATTGAGATGTCGTGCAATGTGCATTTGATTCGTTTTGCTGTTGTTATTTTTTTGTTGTGGTTAGTTAGTATTTGTTTTTTATGACACAAGCCTGTCGCGGAACTGCCGCAGGAATTCAAAGACTTAATGAAAATTAAATTTTAATGCTTAGTACGTAGAAACAGGAAGCTCGACAGCATAGAAAGGTGTGTTTTTAAATCTTAACACTTTGCTTTGAAGACTGAATGAATAATGGTAGTTCAAAATGGAAATGGGCTTTCTTTCAAGTTTATACATTGTATGTATATGCCTCGTAGCAACTTTTTCTGAGGTACATTAACAAAATAACACCGACGATAAATAAAATTATATTTTGATGAAATATTTTTCAACCATTTTTTCCCACAGCTTAGCATTATTCTAATTTATAATACTTAAGTGGCTATACATGGAGTTTATTACATTAAGCACATTCACCATAATTAACACGTGCCAAATATTGCTTATATATTTCAATTTTAAATTTATATATTTTTTTGTTGTTTTTCTTTTTTTTTTCTTTATCTTCATTTCTTCTACATACGTCTTGTTTTATTTCGTTATGGTTTAAAAACAGAGACAAAGATAACATTATCTATGTCTCTGTTTAAAAATGAATACCAGAAAGTGTCATTTATTTTTCATAAAATCGCTTTAACTATAAATTGAACAACAATATTTTTTTCAAAAAAGGCACAGCTAAGGGTGCTGGCTCCTATCAAGACGATACATGTACTTTGAAATAGTATTTGGATAGTAATGAAAAACTATACTGTCTAAATCAAACACTTGTTATTTTAACTTTTCATCTACCAATACCATATTGCCTAACTATCTACATATAAAAAAGCGACGAGCAAATAAACTTAATATCTTACACACAGCGCTTGTTATAATTACTTACATTGCAATGAAAGTTTAATAATATTTTATTGTATCAATATACACACAATATACAATTTCATAATTTTACAGACATAATCAAGTGTACATACAAAAGGGTTGGGCCAAAAGTTCTAACAACATTACCGTGGGTCCTTGAATGAATGTCAAAATGTCTTGCACTTTTCAACATGTTGGGAGTTAAAAATGAATGACACACCTAGAAATATAATACAGTGCTATATATATGGTTAAAATGATAACGAACATTTCATACTATCCGGCGACAAACACTAACCCCTTACCATTTTTTATGAGTTATTGTTACTGAGATCTAATTTACAAATTTATAGTCGTGAATTGTTCCAAAATAATACGGCATGAAACAAAATTAAAACAATACAATTAAAGCATCTAAATACACGTTCATTTTTTATAAATTGGACGGCGACAATCACGAACCTGTCATTTTCGTAACTTTAGGTGAATATTATGAAACAATTATTCATGATCAAATGGCGAGTTATTGTGTGTTATTTAAGTTAACATCTATCTTCTTAAACCAGCATAGATTTACAGGCAAATAACCTGCAATAATGAGGAGTAATATACGGTGGCGACAAGTAAAAACTAAGGGTGTAAATTCTAACTGAGAACGGCCGTATATCGGACAACAAAAAAATGGTAATTCTTTCGTTTCTATATAGAATGACTTAGAATGAGGCCCATCGATAAGAAAACGTTCTTTCATGAAACAAACGACGCTATTTAAACAAGATGAATATTTTGCTTCACGTAGAACACGTGCAAAGCATAATGAAAAATTATGGCTTAACGTTAGCATCAATTGTTATATTTCTTCTGCTTCAACTGTTAATTCTAAATACTCTTTTGAAAAAATATTTTACAGGAATACATAACTGGGTATGCTAGAAATATTAAACTTTACTTTTCTTTTTTGATTGGAGGAGGGATGACTCATGCTCATAAACTTATTTTTTATGAACTAGGTTTGCCTAGAAATTAAATAAACGAGTATACCCGAACCAGCAATCGGTTAAGTCCGTTTTCAACGATTAGCTGCCCGAATTTAGCCGATCATAAGACGGAACAATGCACTGCGCATTCCGTCGGCTATTTACGTAAATTCCCACTCCATTTCTAAGCTTCTATTCAGTGGACGCCATTTTTTGTTTAATCTGTACTGCGTAGATTTATAATTACCCCTTTGTTAGGCGTATCTACCGTTATCTGCTTACATAACCGAGGCCTACCGGCTTACAGTGTCGAGGTCGAAGCGAAACAGTGAAGGACGGTGTGAGATCAAGGTCATGGCCGGAGGACAATGTAAACAGTGTGAGAGCATTTTTCAAAACAACAGAAACCTGTACGACGTTATTTGCTGTTTAATAACTTCAGTAAGTATGGCAATTAGTCTGTATGATTGAATTAATAATGTCCACCCTTTTTAGATCGTTAGAGCGTAATTTCATGAAGGTTTAGTAATCTTTTTTCAGTTTAGGAAAGTGATGGAACCTGACGTTTTACTGGTTTTCTGCACCTATAAATGAGAATGTAAAGCTACGTACTCAAAACAAATGTTCAGGCCATAAGGGGTTTTAACTGAAATATTACATAAATTAAATAAGTTCATTTAATGTGCCTTTTTTATTTTCAGAGATGTCGAACTCGGGTGATATAGGGATATCACCTGTACTCCTTCAAGCTATAAGCCAGTCGCTGAGTTCACCAAGTCATAAACCACATACAGCAGTCAGTACGAAAATGGAAGGTTCCAACCTGACACCAGTTGAAAGTGGGGCAGCTGATCAGAACCTTGCTGAACAACTAATGAAAGACCAGCAGGGAAGCTTGAACATGATTAACACAACAGAAGACATGAACTTACCACTTCAGAATGATTCGTTATCAATAAAAACAATGTTGAAGATAAAAATGGCAGCAAATGCCCTAACTAAAACTGCGTTACAGCAGCAGTCATTTGGTACAGAAAGTGGAGTTCTGAAAACTGAGGGAAAGGAGATTGCCCGAAGTTCTGCTTCGGACATAGCAATGGCAAACATGTTGACTGCTCTTGCTACCCAGAATAGTAAAACATTTGTTGCCACCACTACTGACACAGGTTCGAGTCTGTTGGGGCAAAATGGGGGCTCAACACAGAGTTCATCTAGTTCATTAAAAGAGCCTGAATTCAGGACTGTTCAAGTGGGAAATAAAAAATTGTTAATAAGAACTAAAGATGACATATCAGGACCTGAGTTTAATCAACAAAACACATTTTCATCTGAAAACAATAATGAGGGCACAAGTGCAAATGAAGCAGTTTATACCATAATCAAACCAGAACCTGGCATAGACACTGTGAGATTAGAGTCAAGTGAACCAAATGTGTTAGTATCGAGCTCAAATTTGAATTCAAATATGATGTTAGGTCAGGTTAAAGACACAATAGTTTCGGGCAAGTCTAATGCAGACAATAGTTTAATACTCTCTGATACACAATCAACATCTGGAGTAACAAGTGGTGAAGCTGGGGCTGGTACCCAACTTGTGTTCTCATTCAACCCAAGTGCTTCGGGTACTTCAGAAGTTTTACCAGATACACAACTGAAGGTGATTGAGCACGAAGGGAAACGTTACATTTTACAAACACATTCTTACGACTCGTCACAGGTCACTGATGCTCAGGCAGAGGATTCACAGTCATACACTGTACAAATTGGAACTGATGAGGGTGTAACATTCACAAGTGTTGCCGAGCAGGAAGTGGTCACTGTTGGTCAGCAGCAGGAAGAGGCTGGAAATGTTTCTGGATTCAAGAGTCCACTGTCTGGAAGTCCTTGTCCTATTTGTGGGGATAATGTCTCAGGTTCGGTAAAAATAATGGCCATTCCTGTATAGATCTTCCCAGCTGCCTGAATTTTAATGTTTCAGCTGCTTTATGTCCTCGAAATGTCTAAATTTGAAATTTCTAATGAATAAATGCTGAGCATGTTTCTTTTTATCTTTTGCATATATTTCTAAGTTATTTCTCACAGTTGATCTATAGATGTAAGAATTTCGAATTTTATGTTTTTATGTCCTTGTTACAGTTCCTTTAATTGTGACTAAAAACCCATCTCTTGTTTCAGGTTTCCATTACGGTATTTATACATGTGAGAGCTGCAAGGGATTTTTCAAACGCACAGTTCAGAATAAAAAGTCCTTTGTTTGCCCAAGGAATGGAGAATGTGAAATAGTGTTAGAGAATAGAAAAAAGTGTCCAGCATGTAGATTTGCTAAGTGTCTGGTGATGGGAATGAAACTAGAAGGTAAAGATATGTTTGAATTCTTATGAAGAATACCTTGTTCTATATATCATTGATATGGTTCAGTGGTTTATTGACCTTGATTTTTCCCCCCAGTTTTTCCAAGTACACACGCCAAGTCACACTTATTTGAAACTTTTTGTCAATAGTCAGTACATGTATTATTTATAATTTTTTGGTAAATTTATGTGCGATTCACTATTCTTTTCCTATTGACAGGTCCTAAGTATTAAAGAATGTGAATGAATGAAAAAAATAATGAATGAATCAATGTTCAAATGATTTAGCATAATTTCTATTGGTTGTTTACAGATATATTGGATAATGAATGAATGTAGTTTCTTTACTGAATTTAATGAATAGGTTGAATAAAATTATATTTTGCAAGCTTCTAAATTTATTAATGAACCTACACAAATGTAAAATATTTTCCAGCAATCCGGCAGGATAGAACAAGAGGTGGCAGGAGTAGTTACGGAGGTAGTTCCCCATTTGAGGAGAAGAAAAGACGACCAATCAAAATGGTTCCTCGAAGAACAAGTTATCAGAATGAAAGTGCCCTGGCTTCAGTGTTAAATGCTGGAAGTGCACACTCAGAAAAGCCTTATGTTCCACAAATATTAACAGACATAATGAACTTGGAATCTTTGCTGTGTGATGATGACATTCCATCGAGCATTTCAGCGGAAGATTTCTCGATATCAAATCCAAATGTGTTCCTCACCTTACTGCAATTGTGTGAATTGAAATTATACAAGATTGTGAGATGGGCTCGTAATTTACCGTACTTTGCAAACATTTCGGTAAGTAGTTGGATTTATTCATGATTATGAATTCATGACGGATTCCGAACATATTTAACATATTCAATATTTCTGGTTTAGAATTCCTTAAGAAAGCCCAACATGTCAAAATTGAAAATGTTGCAGGCTCGGTTTGATTGAGCCTGTTCGTGTAAATGTCATGTCTACTATGTTAAGCATTACTAATTGCAGTATTCTGCATTTACAAAACAATAAATTGAATAGTGCTCGCCAGATTTGTTTAAATAATGAGTAAAGGGCTTACACTTGAGACATTGGCTGCTGCAATTAGAGACTTAAAAAGTGATATATGTTGACATATATATTGGTTGACTGTAGTCGTTATCACAATGATATACTGTATGAGGCGGACCTCGTAATTTACCGTACTTTGCAAACATTTCGGTAAGTAGTTGGATTTATTCATGATTATGACATGTGTTTTTCTGTGATTGATGGTCAGTAATCTGATAAGGGAGATTTTTCCTAAACCAATATCTATAGTCTTGAAGATTTTCTGTCAGTGAAAAGTCTTCATAAGCAAAGAAAACTGCTATATACGATTTTCTTTAAATATGTTACCAAATAAAATGATATTTTATATTTCCAGACAGATGATCAGATATTGTTGCTGCAGAACTGTTGGTGTGAGTTACTTGCCCTTACATTGTGCTGGAAATCTCTACATCTGACAAATGAAATCATCTTCTTTCATGGCCAGGCAATAGATCTGGAGAAAGCATGTTCATTAGACCTTGGCGAAATGTTCAATAAGATGTCGGCTGTCGTTGAACAGTTCAGACGTTTGAAAGTTGACCAGTACGAGTGTGTAGCATTAAAAGTCATTATTCTCATTTGTCCAGGTAATGTAATGGTTATATATAATTCGCTTTTAAGGGTATTGACATTGTAAATCAGTAAACCTCTAAATTTAAACAAATTTAAATGAAAATTTAAAAACTGTTTAAAAAAAGTAAAGATGTTGTTAACTTAATAAAAAGATGAATTTAGTTTATACAGAATTTATTTAAGTTTGTGTAGGAAGCAATTATAAACTTACTCTCTAATTAGATCCTGGAACCATCCAGTACTGAGCAATGAGTAAAAAGTTTCTTGCACAAGGAAGCTACAGCTTGAGCCACTTCCAATTTTCTTGAGCCAATTTAGTTATTTTGTAGCCAATTTGCTCATTGATTCCTGGCAGTGAGAGCTCTGCAGTGTCTTTGACAGGGTTTCAGCCCACGCGCGACTAGCGATCCTTAATTGGATTACTAATCTGACATGTTAATTTCTTGAACATGTCTTCTAAATAAATGAAAATTAAATTGATTTATGCTGGCAAAATAAGAAGAAATTAGAATAAAAAAGTACTAGTATTTGAAAATATGTTGTCTGACTAGCATTCTAGAATTCTGTTTTCTGTAATTAAGAATTTCTGCGTTAAATATAACATTAAGACAAATGTAAATTTTTCAGATATAAAAGGATTGAATGATGCAGACAGGCTGTCTGAGCAGCAACAGCGTGTTAGCATGGCCCTTGAAACATACACATGTAGTCATTACAGACAAAGTCCCAATAAATACGGTGAGATTCTACTCCGCCTCCCAGAATTGTCCCGCATCAGCTGTATGCTTAAAGAACATCTCATGAAGTGGATGCCTGCCAATACAACATCATGTGGATTGTTGTATGAACTCCTTAAAGGCGAAAATATGAAAGATTTAGTGTGACAGTAACTAAATTATGTGAATAGGAGTGCATAGAACTCTTAGTCTTACAAACAACCATGCATGATGTAATAAAGATGCCAGTCATTACCGGCTAAAAGTGGCTTAATTCTAGGTCACATGATGAAGTTACATGTATGTACTGGCTGGGTGGGGTTTGGGGGTGATTGTAACTTGAACAAGAAAGTACTGCAATATTGGTGTGAGTCAAATCAAGGTAACAATACAGGCATTACAGGAAATATATATTTCATTATTAGCTTGTCTGTTTCCAGGAAAAAGTTGAGCTATTATGATAGCTACATTGTCGTTGTTATTGCCATCGTGCTAAAACTTTTAATAAATGCCCATTAATCAAACATTTTTAAAGTTGTCAGTTTGAAACTTGCAATACTTGCATATCATGAAAAGGTGCAGTTGTTAGAGAACTTAGACATAATTCTGGAAGCTTTATTTTTTGTAGTTATTCCCCCTTTAAACTTGGAATTTTTGTTAAAATTGGTTATTGATATTCGTCGCTTTTAACAGGCAAGGGTTAAAACCACATGCAGTGCTTCTGTTTAACCTTTAATGTGGAGACATTGCCTGTATGAAGTGACTGTTAACTTGGTAGAAACAATTTATAATTACATGGTTTATACAGCTAGTTAGTGTTTTCTGTAAGTCACCAATATGATTTGTTCAGGACCTATAAATTAGAGAACTTTCTGTCTATACTGTAGTGAGGAAGTTATACGTTATAATGAAGTAGAAATATAAGTCTCAGTTTTTCTCTTCTGTTGGAAAGATCCCATTACATAAACATACACAATTGTCAATTGTGACTCAGTTGTGATTGTGCTATCATACCTTTCTTAAAATATTTATTTTACAGTTAGTGACTTATATCATGAACAGTGATTAGTTCCATAAAAACTTATTTATTTATTTTACGTTAATAGATCTTATCTAGAACTCGGCAGGGTTATTTCCCAGCTAATCTGTTGGTCCTAACAAACTTAACAATATAGCTTCACGGTGCACTACCAGTACCAGTCACAAAAGATTAACTAACCTGTTGCGCTTGTTCTGTAAAGGTTTGTTTGTACCTACGAATTAGCTGGGAAAAACCCAAATATTCATAATTCCAGAGTTAGTCTATTTGGAAAAAATAGTTTTGTATAAGCTTCATAAACAGAGCAAATAAACCAATAATTCTGTATAGATGGCCTTAACTGTTTTATACATTCCTTCTAGTACTATATTTTGTATGCAATGTTCATAGTTAACATGAAAGTGGACTGGTATTTCAAATAAAATCAATAGAAATGTGTCAAATGGATGTTCTTGTAAAATATTTCTTGAAAAAATTAATGTTGATAGGAGTTCGAAGTGTATGAACATTTATGTGATGGATAGAATTTTATGTTTGTTTTAGAACAATTTATTATCTGGTATATATAGATATGTCATAGAAGATCATGTTACACTTACTAACAACATTAATGTATAATTATTTATAAATTCTGAATATGGTTCCCCTTGACAACAGAGCAATGTCTTATTTTATTGCTATGGTTTTGGGGACCTAACAAGAATATAGCTTGCTGTTTGTACCTTAAATTGTTTTCTGTGGGAACTTTAGAAAAGAAAACTATATGCTTGTTCCGAAGGTCTTAAAGCAGCATGCCTCCAGATATCTGCCAATTTTCATGAAAATTTTGAAGATGTTTTAAAAAGTAAAATGACAATATTTTATACTTTGTAAACAACATTGATAATTATTGTAAACAGCAATTTTATAACTAATGTTAATTACCAAAAATAGGTCAAAATATGCAAAAATAGCCATTACTGCATTAGAAACGCGATAGATACTGCATAATCGGTCATTAATCATACATACCATGTAAATTTTTACTTAAGTTTTTGATTTTTTCACTTTTCTTAAACTTTTAGTACATGATTCTCAAATTTGATTTTTTTGAAATACATTGTGTATTTTGGCTTATTTGGGGGCATGCAGCTTTTAAGGTTGCTTAGTTAGTCACTATTTTGAATTTGTTTGAAACCAGAGCTTTAAAAATGTGTTATCATTTGTATAAGTTTTATGCCCATAGAACAACAAATGAACTATTTCCTAGGACTTGTTGTTTCTCAGTTAATGTAATATAGAGCAATTAATGAGATGTAATAATGAGCATTGAATAAACATTATACCTTATTCTAACACGACCCGCATTTTTCCCTATTGAACATAGAAGAACTGAAAGTGTGTGTTATTATGCTATAAAATCACTGTTTGACGTACTATATTTAGACATGTGACGTAACCATTATACACGTGACGTAACAACTAAAAATGTGACGCGCTGACAATAAGTACGGAAACAAATCAGGCGCAATTTAGCTAATTATAATGTACGGCAGCATTTATTTGTTGATGTCGTGTTAGAATCGAAATAATATATCCAAATCGGTGATTTTATTGCTTGATAAAATCACTGTTTGTCGTTCGGATGCGCATCATTATATCACTCGGGCTACGCCCTCGTGATATAATTCCCCGCATCCGAACTCCAAACAGTGATTTTATTGAGCACTTGGGCAATGTTAACATTATTTTTCTAAATGGAATCCATATAAAATAAATAATTACACCCGACTTAAATGACCGAAGTGCATCAACAATTTGTAGTTTGTCTTCCAGTTTTAAACAACACATTCTATTGTTTACATTACACACGTTTTGATTGGATAAGTGAGAATATGTAACACATGAAAGAAACACTTAGAAAACAAATTTTTAGTATCAGAAACGAGATATTTTCCGGAAAATGTTGACAACTAATCAAATCATGAGCAATCAAGAATTGAATCGTTAGCGCTTATTTGCAGTTTGGCATAATCAGTAGTAATCGCTTCACTCCTATTTACTGTAGATGTGACTTAGATATTTGTACATTTTGCTCTTTAGAATTGTATATACATATGATATACTTTAGTCTTCTATAAATCAGGTATATTTTAATTTTTAAGAATGAAATGTTATTTATAGAGTTCCAGCTTTCTTACCTATTTTAGAATGCTAATAAAATGAACTTGATAAGGGGAGGAGGTCAGTGGAGGGGGGGGTCTTCTCAATTTTTGTAAATGATTATAAGAATGTTCAAACAGCTCATATAATGACGTTCATACTATGTGTTCAGTCATATTCATATATATTTTTATCCCCCGCGGGAAATTTTCGGCGGAGGATATAGAAATAGTCTCCGTCCGTTCGACCTTCCGTCCGACATTTTTGTCCGGCGCATATCTCTAAAAGTATTTGAGTTATCAACTTGAAACTTAATAGGTGGATAGACCTCATTGAGGAGGAAGTGCAGTGCACAAGAATGATAACTCTACCTTGCATGATTTTTTGAGTTATTGCTCTTTGTTATTTTTCAAAATTGATTTTTGTCCAGAGCAACTTGAAACTTCAAAGGTGGATGGATCTCATTGAGGAGGAGTGCAGTGCTAAAGAATGAATAACTCTACCCTGCATTATTTTTGAGTTATTGCCCTTTGTAATTTTTCAAAATTAATTTTTGTCCAGAGCATAAATCAAAAAGCCTTTGAGATATCAAAATGAAACTTCATAGGTGCATAGATCTCACTCAGGAGGTGTGCACTGCACAAGAATGATAACTCTACCTTTTATAATTTTTGAGTTATTGCCCTTTGTTATTTTTCATACTTAATTTTTCAATTCAATTTTTTTCTCAAAAAAGTATTTGAGGTATCAACTTGAAACTTCATAGGTGGATAGATTTTACTGAGGAGGGATGCAGCACACAAGAATGATAACCTACCCTGCATTATTTTTCAGTTATTGCCCTTTGGTTATTTTCAGCCATCAGTATTCACATAGGTTTCAAATCTGTAATCACTATAGCCATCAGTTTTCATTACCAGAAGACCTCTTAAAATGGAATTATTCTGCTCTACTACAAATACATTCTTCCAATGAGCAAACACATTCGGCGGGGGATGGCCATGTTGACATGGCTCTTGTTCTCAAAGTATCCAATTTATTAATAAACCCATACTTAAATGAACATGTCCGTCTTTTTAATCTGGGCAAAACAATCATTTTTTAGGGAAAATTTGAAAAGAAGTACTGAGTGAATAGAGAACAGATGCAGACTATGATCAGATGGCACTGATATGCCAGCTAATCTTTGACTGCATTGGTCTCATTTGCTACCATCAGACCCATGAATTAATACAAAATGAACAAGGAACAAATGAACTCATTTGAAAATAAGAGGTGTGGTAAATGGAAACGGTTAGACATGGATATGTTTGGATTTTAAACATTGTTCAGGTCAGGTTGTTTAACTCATTGAACCCTAGTGCTACAATTATGTTGTTATCCATAGCATGGTATTTCTGTGCTTCTTTACCAAGGCAAAAACAGCTTTCATATTTACTGACCTGCAATATTAACTGAACTTTAAACTTTTTTTAAAGATAAATAATCATGTATACTAAATCTGTTACTTTTTGTTTTCATGTGTTGAGATACTTTACAATTATGGCCTGTGTAAATATATTTGAGTCAACTTGTGAATTATTAAATAACTACTGTATATAAGTTATTGTTGTTCTATTGTATATATTGCAGTAAAATGCATCCTGTGACAGGGAAAATAAAAAATAATCTGCAAAAAAATGTGTCCTTTTTATATCAATACCTGATAAAGGAACATAATTTTGTTCTCCCTTTACAAATTTTTATATTGAAACAGAGAATATATGCCATTATCAAAATTTAAAGTTTGAAACTGCTCTTATGTAGTTGCAAAGTTGTTTTCTTCTGTCTAGTTCTCACTTTTTTTTTGGGCCCTTTTTAAATTTACGACTATAATCGGAAATTTTGTCTTCAAAACCTAAAATCCCAAAAAGGTCTTTTCATTTTACTGAACTAAAATTTCTATTATATTGCAGGAATGCTCTATTCTTTCTAATGTATAAATAATTTCAGCCTGCCCATTTAGCTTGGGAAAGTGAGCATTCAGTTTATGATATTGAGATTTAAAGTCTGGTGCTGTAAAATTGTATTTGACCCTGAGTTGGTTCAGGGGTGGCATATGTTCTGCACATTGCCTTTTTGAGGTGAATATTTGAGCCAGGTTTGAAGAAAATCGTTCATTAGGTATAGGATTTTTAAGCTGACATGAAATTGTTTACCTTCATGTGTGACCTCCTTCAAGGAGTACTGCTGGAGTTGAAAAGCAGACACAATGGAAACAGACTGACCAACAGATGGGGAAAAAGTGATTCCAGACATGTATATCCCCTTCCACATGATGTGGTGGGAGTTATAATGAAAAGCTTTAAATCAAATTTTGAGGAGCAAAAGGTCACTTCTGTCACATAAGTCATCTCTGGGTTATCTTGGTTGCCAAGTGATAATGGTCTTTAACTTCAAACACTAGCATTTCACTGTTAAGGGTTTCAAATACAACAAGGCTGTTCAATCCTGTCATGTGAGGAGCCTACCATGTGACCTATTGCTACAGTAAGATACTCCCTTGTCTGAAATAAAGGATATCTGATAGTGGTATCTGAGGTGTTCATCTGCCAATGAGGCAGGAAAGTAGTCATATGACCCTAGAGGTGTCGGTAAAATCTTAATAAATCTGTATAAAACTAGAAATGTGTCCATAGGACACGGATGCCCCTACACGCCACTGTTCTGTCAATCTTATGACTCTAGGTCAAACATTTTTTAGACTACATGTGCCACAAGTTGAAAACTAAAAATCAACAAAGGGCCA